TAAAGTTTTATAACCAATTTCCACATTATCAGATACTTAACATGTACATTTTATTCTTTCTTCCTTATTCCCACTTTTTAGTCTCTGGTCTATAGTTAAATATAGTTAATGTTTTCCAACACTTTTGCCAGTTTTCTTACTCATCTCTAGAGGATGAAGTTCATACTCTACTAGTTTCCTTATGAGGACCTTAGACTCACAATATACCTTGTGTCTTACAGGCTTGAATTGTTTATAATTGAAGAGCATTTTACAGATGATAAAATTAAGATACAGAAAGACTAAATAATATGTACATGCTAGCAAGAAGCAGAGCCAAAGATTTAAACTTGGAAGTTTAGTTCCAGAGTCCAAGCTCCTACTTGTTACTTCTACAAGTTCAGATATTCAATTTTAATCATAGGAGAAATATTAACATTTAGAAGAAATAATTAATAGCAATGCAACTACGATGCATGATAAAATTAAGAGAAGAAATGTATTTTAGAAACTGCTAGATTAAGCAAAAGTAGATTAGGAGACTGAATACTCATGTCGTTAAAAGCAAGGTCTCTAAACTCAACCCTCAATTTGATTATTGGCTCTGCTACTTATTATACCTTGGGCATGTTATTTAATCTCTCTAAGCCCCAATTTCTACACCTGGAAAATGGCGATAGAGTGACTATTTCATGGGATGTTGTGAGGTTTAAATGAAATCATGTATTTTACAAAGAGACAAACACAGTACCTTGCACGTAGGTTAATAAGTGTTTCAGTATGTTAACTACTTTTAAAAATTATTACCATCATGTGATTAATCAAGAAAATTATACATCTAGTTTCCTAAGATTATTATGAAAAAATTTTTAAATCCCAATTTTCCAAGAAGTAAAAAAGCCTATTTTCTTTATATGAAATGTCTTCTTTTTTCTCTCAGCCAGTTGTCAAGTTTAAGTCCCAGCTCCTATATGAAAACTGCCCTACTGATCCAATCCACACTGATCTAAATAAACTCTTAATTGTTTATATTAGTCTGTATCACACTTAAAGCATAAAGTGTCTCATGCTATCTTTTTAAAAAAATATGTTTCTGCCCTGGCCGGTTTGGCTCAGCGGTTGGAGCGTTGGCCTGCGGTCTGGAGAGACCCGGGTTCTGTTCCCGCTAAGGGCACGTACCTCGGTTGCAGTTTGTCCCCGGCCCTGGTTGGTCGTGCGGGTGGCAGCCACTCGATGTGTCCCTTCATGTCGATGTTTCTCTCTCTCTCTCTCTCTTCCTCTCCCTCCCTCCCGCTCTATCTGAACAAAAAATGGAAAAGTGTCCTCGGGTGAGGCTAAAAAATAAAAAAATATGTTTCTATTGCTTTTTTAGAGAGAGAGGATGGGGGAGAGAGAGAAACATCGATTGGCTGCCTCCTGCATGAAACTCATGCGTGTGCCCTGACAGGGAATCAAATTGGGACCTCTCAGTCCATGGGACGAGGCTCAATCCACAGAGTCACACAGGCTGGGCTGTTTTATTCTCTATCTTAACAAAATTTTGTAACAATCTATTAGTACTTATTGTCCACATATTTCCCACTGCCTTTTATTAATAGTTTTATATGTCATCTTGTTTCACTAACTAGACAAATAATGTCTTTTTTAAATCAAGTGTTAAAATTCTGGACCAAAATTACTTGCACAGGGTAGGTACACAGAAATTCTGCTTGATTGTTTTGAATGTCTATATTTAGGAAAATTCAAATACATAGACTGATGAGCTAGAAAGACTAATTTAAGATAAAACATTTAATTTTTAAATTCTTAACTGTTTAAAATATCTTTTCTTATTTAAAAAATAAAGGAAAGGCCCCGGTCAGTTAGGCTCAATGGTTAGAGCGTCGGCCTGCGGTTCAGAGAGACCTGGGTCAGTTCCCGTTAAGGGCATGTACCTCGGTTGCAGTTTGTCCCCAGCCCTGGTTGGGTTGTGCAGGTGGCAGCCACTCATGTCCCTTTCACGTCGATGTTTCTCTCTCTTTCTCTTCCTCTCTCTCCCTCCAACTCTATCTGAACAAAAATAGAAAAATGTCCTCAGGTAAAGATTAAAAAAAAAATAGAGGAAAGCATTGTTAGGGGGAAAGAGGTTTTATACAAGGCCTTTAGAATAATTTCTAAAAGTGAAAACAAAATAGCTATATATATTTTAAAAACCAACTGAATAGAATTACAGCATCTCTAAGAGCAAAGGTACAACAAGGGCTACCTAATTCATGAACACTTAGTTAATGTGTAACATTTACTGAAAGAGAAAGAGATAAATTAGTAAGAACATAAAAGGTTAAAAGGGAATTCAAAATATTTATAAAAGTCTATTTTTTGTCTTAGTACTCAATGTTCCACCAGAAGCAGTTCCACTTATTAACCTGTACTGAAAACACAAGGCTTTATTACTATCTGGGGGGGGGGGGGATCACAATACTATAAAAATGGCCTAGAACTACATTATGTGGTTTGAACCTAATTAACCAAGAGTATCATAATGTACCCACTGTAACCATTCTCAAAACTACTAAAATGTACTCTGGGTGGTGTGGCTCAGAAGGTGGTGAGTTCAATCCCTGGTTGGGACATGAGCGAGAGGAGGCTGATCAATGTTTCTCTCTCATTTCAATATCTCTCTTTCTCCCTAAAATCAATTTTAAAAAATACTAAAAATGATATTGAAATACAGCTTCAACTGGATGCTTGTGTACTTCCTTCTGTTAGAAATGACCATTCACTGATTGTAACAAATATTTTTGAAAACATGAAAAAGGTTAAGATTAAACCATGTATACTTTCCCAAATGAGACATGCTTTAAAAGCTTTGTGTAATTTTTTTCAATATTAAATGTGATTAAAATTCACACTATGCAGAATGGCTTCATTCAAGACTATTTTAAATGGAACATAAGCATTCTAAAAATATAAAAAGAAAATTGTGAGGACAGTGGTTTGCTCACAGATGCCATCTACAAGGTATCTATAGCACAGCAGTTAAGAGTATGGTGCCTGGAGCCAATACCATCAGTTTAAATCCCAGCTCCACCATGTCCTACCTCTGACTTCAGGCATGTAACTTTACCTATGTGTGTCTTGGCTACTTACTTGGTAAAATACGTGTAATGCAAGCATTGATACCACAGGTTGTTGAGAGAATTAAATGAGGTATTACACAGAGTGCTGAGAATAGTGTGTGGTAGGTAGTACATAAATGCTCTTAAATGTGAGCCATTACAAAACTAACAATTTAAAATGTTTATCCCAGTAAATCTTCATGAATACACCTACTGAAGAAAATTTCTATTCCAGACTAGAATGCTTATTTTTTCATCCAACTTTCCACAACAACTGCATGCAGTTAAGTGGAAACTTTTTTATTTCTGCTCAATTTCTAAATGATAATTTTGCGAAACTATAATAAAACCCAATAGTACTATTCTCTAAAAAATACCAACCGTAAATGTTACATATAAAGCTGACCTATATCTCAGAAAGTAAAAAGTGAAGGAGGTAAGAAAACTGGAAACTTTGACTCCCAAACCAGGAATACAATCCCTAGCTAGCACTGCCTTTAGTAAAATTATCCATCGTATGTAGGCAAAATATATCATTACGATGGGCACGTTTGTTCTACAGGATTTATTTAGTATTATTAGTGTTGTAGCCTCATCTCACTCAACCAAAACCAAAGAATCAACAGTGCACTCATTACTCCACATTCATATGGAGTCTAATAAATAAAAACTTTTGAGCTGAAATTAAGCTAAGAATGACATTTCTAAAAACAATGGAAAAATTAATTTAATAATATCACCTTACAAGAGTTTTTAACTTAGGATTGGTAAACCTTGTGAAATTATGTAGAAAATCTTATATGTGTGTGCATTTTTCTAGGAAGATGATCCAGTGCTTTCATGAGATCCTCAGAAGGGAGTGGAATCCCAAAAGGTTAAGAATCACTGCTCTTTACAGTTTACAAATTTCTTTATATTCTTATGTCGTTCGTTTCAGAAAAGACCTTGCTTATATGAAATTAAGCAGTATAATTCTAAATCCATCCAAATCTCGTAAATTCTTACAGTCTACAGACCTTTCCCAGAGCTGTAATGAAGGGACAATGAGATATAAGCACAGAAGAATCACTAATAAAAGGTGAGTAAACTGTTTTAGCTCTAGAACAATTAATATGTACAGAAAACATTGGGTAGTATAATATCAGGAAGAGGCTCTAATTATCATTTAAATACAGTTACAGTTGCCGACAAAAATCACATTTCATTTTTCTATACTTAGAAAAGGTAGTTTAGGAGAAAAAAAATTTAGCACAAACCACCACTCAGAGACCTATGTAAAATTAGTTTCTTGAGCAAACAGAAAAGTTTACAATGCCTACAAGCCCAGGCAATGTTTTGATTTATGTTACACCTGCCCCGTAATTTAACATTGGATAATTTATGGGCAAAAACATTCAACACAGATATTCAGGCTGCGATTGGCGACCACTGCCCACAGAATAATCCAATCTTGGCTAAATGACAGTAGTCTTCCATCGAAACCTAAGAACCTTCAATCTGGCAACAATTAAAATACAAACAAAAAACTCTACTCTAACCAAACTAAAAGTCAACCAAAGTGTTCCTGGGGTTTGCTTCCTTCCCTCGCCCTTGAGGACCGCACCTCTTTGTGCACAGGGTTTGAAGGTCCCCCAACCTCAGACCCCAGTTACCGGCGGTGGCAGGACACCCTGTGGCAAGCCTCAGGGGACCTCCTACTCAGCAGTGAAAACGACGGCGGATGTGAACCGGCGCGATCTCCAAAGCGGCCGTGACGCCAGGCGTTGTCCCGCCGGGCCCGAAACCGAGACCAGGGGCGGGCCGCCAGTGGACACCGGGCCGCAGGCTGGCGGAGACCGAGGCTGGAGTCACAGCTTTGGCCTGTGCTCTACCTCAAGGCCCGAGGATCGGCGAAAAGGACAGGAGGGAGGAGGGTGCACACACCTGGCGGAGACCCTAGGCGACCGGTTCCTGCGTTATCGAGACGACCGTCAGACTCTCCCAGCATTCGCCGCCGCCCCTCCTCCCCGCCCAGGACACCTCCACGTTCCGCTTCAACGTGGCAGCCGCAGCCCCGCCCAACCGGCCTGCGAGCTTCCGGGAGCGAAGCCTCGCCCCGCCCAGCCCAGCGCGCTCCTCGCCCCGGCACTTCCGGTAGCGAGGGCAGGCGGGCGGCGGGCGTGGAAGCGGCCGGGGAACTCGCTTCGGCGCCTCGCGTGCGTTCGTAAGGCGAGGGACCCGTTCTTGTAGGGCGCGCGCGACGTCCATGCGGTGGCCTGAACTGTGCGACCAAGAAGAGGCCTAATGGCTGTGCCTGTCTGGCCCAAGAGCGGCGGGGGCTCTCAGGGGTGCCACGTAGAACTAGTCCTGAGATGTGAACAGCCCCGGCGACACTGCCACCAGGCAAACCACGTGAAAATCGGGCTAAAAGGGCCTTATTGCAGTGACAGTAATTTGTGACTGGGTTCTTAAAATTGCTTACTTGGTTCTACAGTATTGCGTTTTGAGAACTTCTTTAAAACCATACCATCTGGTCACACCCAAAGGCTGTTGTGGACATACTAAATTTGTTAGTTACTCCTAAGAGGCATTGTGGGTAAGGCATTCCTATTAGTATCCAATTAATATATCCAATTAGTGTACCTTACCATTGTGGGTAAAGTAGTCCAATTAGTATCTCAAATTAGTACATTTGAGATCTATTAGCATTTGCTCCCAGTTACTGGAACTTGACTAGTTTTACTGGAGCCTGGCATCTAATTATGTTGCCTAGATACTGTTTCTAGGTTAGGGGAAAATTATTTTCTAGTGAGGAAAGTAAATCCAGAGGAAAATAACTTGCTAAGGTACCAGAACCTAGATTCAACGAGGTCTCCCAACTTATAGACCAATTCTCTTCCTGTTAGAGATCAGTTAAATCTCTTTCCTAAGACCCTTGCTAAGTGCCTACATTGGAAGCAATGTTTCTCTTTCTTGTACAGAGTAAAATATAGCTCTTGACCTCAGAAACATCCAAACATGTAGGGAATTTTTATGAGTTTATTTGAGCCAAACTGATGACATATGCCGGGGAGCAAGATTGCAAATGCTGCCCTGCCAGTGTGGCTCAGTGGCTTCAGCTAGTCCCATGGAATGAGAGGTTCCGGTTCAATTTCTGGTTCAATTCCTGGTCAGGGCACATGGCCAGGGTTGCGGATTGGTCCCCAGTGGGTGGCATGCAGGAGGCAACTGGTTGATGTTTCCCTTTCACATTGATGTTTCTCTCCCTTCCTCTCTCTAAAAAAATCAATAATATACTTTTTTAAAAACCTCAAATGCGCCCTGGCCGGTTTGGCTCAGCGGTTAGAGCGTCCGCCTGCGGTCTGGAGAGACCGGGTTCGGTTCCCGCTAAGGGTACGTACCTCGGTTGCAGTTTGTTCCCGGCCCTGGTTGGTCATGCGGGTGGCAGCCACTCGATGTGTCCCTTTCACATCGATGTTTCCCTCTCTCTCTCTTCCTCTCTCTCTCCCTCCCACTCTATCTGTACAAAAAATGGAAAAATGTCCTCGGGTGAGGATAAAAAAAAAAAACCTCAAATGCTCGAGAATAAGTTTTGCAGTTTTTTAAAAAATACATTTGAAATTAAGGAGGGGATCTGAGGAAAAGAAAAAGCAAGGTGGGGTACATTACAGGATACTTAAAATTATGTGCTTTCTTGAGGGAATGGTTAAGGCTTATTTTAAACGTATGTTAACTACCCTGGCTGGTTTTCTCTACAGTTAGAGCACTGGCCCTCGAAGTGAAGGGTCATGGATTTGATTCCCAGTCAGGGGCATGTACCTGGGTTGCAGGTCCATCCTTGGCCCTGGGGTTGTGTGGGAGGCAACCAATTGATGTTTCTCTTTCTCCCCGTCCCTCCCACTCTATCTAAAATATCAGTGGAAAAATATCCCTGGGTGAGGATTAACAAAAAATAATAAAATAATAAAGGTGTGTTAACTTAAAAGGACACAAACAATGGACAGGGATTGTTTAAGGCAAAAATAAACCTTTACTAAAGTTATATGCCTAGGGGGTGACTACCTGCCATGATCTGCTAGTTAGAAATTTAGGATCACATCACCTTGTGAGGTTACTTTCCATAGAACTCCCCCCACCCCTTTTTCCACATGAAAAACATTCCTATTTAAGCACCAGAGTAGGCACATTTTGTACTCTCAATACCCTTTAGTGTCTTATATTTGTGGTTCAACTTAAACAGCAAGTTATTTCTTTGGGACTGAAATAAACCATCCCAAGCAAATTAGACTATAGTAGCTAATTTCCAGTGTTCTAAAAAAGCCTTTCATCCACTTTCATTTCTAGCTGCAAGAGCTAGTTTAGCTAGAGGTGTCAGTAATAATCCCTGACTTAAAAATGGGACCATAACTTGAGTCAACAGAAAACAATGAATTCCCTAGATTACCTGGAAGTGTGCATTGGTGTGAAAAAAGGGCTCATTAGAACTTCTCCAAACTTAATAATTCCAGCAGTGGTTACATTCTTTGGTATCACTTAATACAAGCCTTGCAGGAATACTTCTGGTGGCAGGCGGGGCACACGTGTAGAGGGAGCAAGGCTCCAGCTGGTGAGCCTACAGTGGCCGAAGCCAGTGGTGGCAGACCCAGGTGGTGAACTCAAGTGGAGGATGGGGTTCAGGCCCCGCTGCTCTCACCCGCTTGCCTCCATGGACCCATCCCTGGTGCTACTGCACTTGTAGTTTGGCCTTTCCAGTGGTGAAGTGACTGAGTTGAAGAGCAGGGTTGAAGAGCAGGCTGAGTGACCTCAACCTCTCCTCCCTGCTGCTCAAGCTGAAGATGGATCCTGAGCACACCAAACTGCTGGCCTACCTGAAAAGCCAAGACCTATCTGATTCCTTGAGGAGTTTGGAGCTGCCGCAACCAGCCAGGTCACACAGGAAGAGCAAGACCTGACTGTAGCATTTGACATCGTTTATCTGGGGAAGAACTAGAGAAGGCTGGCCTCTCAACTTAAAGTGTCTAACACCAAGATCAGTGCCATCAAGGTGAAGTCCTCCCATAACCCTGAAAAACTGTTGAGGTAGTTGCTGAAACCGGAAACACCAGAGGGACCCTTAGGGCCTGGTGGCTGAACCTGGTGGCAGACCTCATTGAGGATCTGCAGGACCTGGGCCCTCCAAGACAAAAATAAAGAGTGGTAGCTGTACTGTGTGCCTAATGTCCTGGGACTGGAAAACACCCATGTCTGGAGCCTCCTGATGATCCAGCTGCTCTTCTTACGGGGAGCAGAGGGTATCTGCAGTCTAAACTTTGGTTATCCCACTGAGGTTGACCAAGTGCCTTCCATGTGCCAGCACTGTGAAGACCTAGCAGTGAGCCAAGAAGAGGGACCCCAGTACTGGAAAAGCCAGACTGGCTTAATTAAAGCTAGCATTTAAAGAGCACCTATAAACAAACAAACAAACAAAATAAATAAATAAAAAAAAAAAAAAAAAAAAAAAAGAGCACCTAGTCTGTGCCAGATGGGGCTTTGGGGGAATTGTACAGATAATTCCATGTGAGGGAGATTCTGCTGTCCCCATTAAAGAGTTCCTTTAGGAGGAAGTTTTGGAACCATGTCCAGCACACAGAAAAAATCTATAAAATTAGTGGTTTTTACCATTGATTCTACATGTGAGGAAATAAGCACAGAGCTAAGGAGCTAGAGGAAAATTGGGACAGTAATAGAACTGGGGTTGAAAGCAACACTGGCTCCAGAGCCCACACTGGGTCCTTCTGCCACCCCTAAGCATTGAGGCCATCAGGGCAGACCTGTATACCAGCACAGGTGGCATGGGTAAGATGCACCATGACCTAAGCTTCGGGAAGCCTACTATGCCCATACTCCAGCCCTTGGCCCTTGAACGAATGGAGTCTCCTCTGATGTTTGCAAAGAAGGGACAGTAGGTTTGTGAAGTAATGTCTGCTAAGTGCTTAGAAGTGATTGGCACAGTCAGTGCTCTTGAAATGTTAGTTCTTAGAAGTTTTGATTCCTGTGATACCAGTTTGTTACTCTTTCGTATTAAAATAACCACCTTTCTGGCAACAGAACTGGCGAGATAGCTGGATCTGTCATTTTAAAAAGTAAGCTTTCTTTGTTTTTTAAGATAATTGTATTAAAGCAGATGACTTTACAGTTGAAAAGCAATCATACAGTACAATAACATGTTCTTACATAAGTCAAACTACAAACCTTCCCATCCCCAACCTCTTTTGGAAGACCCTGTGAGCTTAGAAAAACATTGTGGCCCGGCCAGTGTGGCTCAGTGGTTGAGCATCGACCCATGCACTAAGAGGTCACTGGTTCCTGCTCAGGGCACATGCCCAGGTTGTGGGCCCGATCCCCAGTGGGGGGCATGCAGGAGGCGGCCAGACGATGTTCTCTCTCATCGATGTTTCTATCTCTTCCCCCCTCTCTGTTCCTCTCTCTCTAAAAATCAAGAAAGAAAAATTAAAAAATATATATATATATTGTGAAAATTTTGGTGAGAAAAATTTATGACATTATATTCGAATTTCAGTGTCCATAGTTTTATTTAACCATGAATAGAAAGAAACTTCATTTAGCCCTGGCCAGTTTGGCTCAGCGGTTAAAGCGTCGGCCTGCGGTCCAGAGAGACCCGGGTTCGGTTCCCGCTAAGGGCACGTACTTCGGTTGCAGTTTGTCCCCGGCCCTGGTTGGTCGTGCGGGTGGCAGCCACTCGATGTGTCCCTTCACGTCGATGTTTCTCTCTCTCTCTCTCTTCCTCTCTCTCCCTCCCACTCTATCTGTACAAAAAATGGAAAAGTGTCCTCGGGTGAGGATAAAAAAAAAAAAAAAAGAAAGAAACTTCATTTAAATTGGAGTTGAGGGCCTGTAGTGAGAGCTCCCAAACCCTACCACTCATGGCAATTACCCAGAACAAGAAGAGGTGCTTTTCATCTCCAACAGGAAATGTTTTCTTACTGTACAATTTCAGCAGGAAGTATGATATCCTCCCTAGCAACCAGCCAATAAAAAGCCACAACAGGCCAGCTGGTGTAGCTCAGTGGATTGGGGGTCACTCCATGCACCAAGAGGTTACTGGTTTGATTCCTGGTCGGGGCGTATGCCAGGGTTGCGGGCTTGATCAATCCCAGTAGGGGGCATGCAGGAGGCAGACAACAATGTCCCTCATCCATGTTTCTCTCTCTCCCTCTATCTAAAAACCAATAAAAATATATTTTTTTAAAAAACCACTACACTACAAACTGTTTTCACCAATAGACCCTTTGCTTACAACAGCCCTTCAGAAATCTACCCCTGCCCCACGTTTCTCTTCTTTGGTCTCTGGACTTGTGCATGGTTTACCATTAGACCACATGTCACAAACTTAAATTCTTTGTTCCCAAATAAGCCCATTTTGTTGGAGAAATACCTTATTCTTAAGAGGTCAACAGAACACAGCCAAGCTCAATGGTTTATATATTGTCCATGGCCATTTCTGTGCCACAAGTGCAAAGCTGAGTAGTTGCTAGAAACCATATGGCCCTTTTCAGGAAGTTTGCCAAATCTTGTTCTGTTAGGATTTGGCCTACAAATGGATTAATACTCACAGTCAGAATATGATACATTTAATATTATAAATTATTTCAAAGCCTTGTTATACTAACATAGGAAGGCAAAATGAGATGTTGGTTATAACTGGTTCTGGTTAAGGCTCAAATACAGCCATTTCCAGGTTGATGTATTTATACCTGGTGAAATATAGACTCCTTAGCTTATTTTATTTTTATTATTTTCAATCCTCATCCCAGGATATGTTTTTATTGATTTTAGAGAGAGGAAGGCAGAGAAACATCAATAGGTTGTCTCCCATATGTGTCCTGACCAAGGATCAAACCCACAACCCAGGTATGTGCCCTGACAGGAATCAAAACTGCAACATTTTTGATGTATGGAACACCATTCCAACCAAATGAGCTATCTGATTACGGGCTCCCTAGCTTGTTTCAAATGTAGGTAGTTCTCATTTTGACTATGCAAACTAAAACTATAAAGCAACCTTAATTTATGATAATCCTATGATGTTAAAATTTGTCAAAACTTTGCCCAGCTGGTGTGGCTCAGTGGTTGAGCATCGACCCATGCATGAAGAGGTCGCTGGTTCGATTCCCAGTCAGGGCACATGCCCAGGTTGTGGGCCACACCCCCAGGGGGGTACGTGCAGGAGGCAGCCAGTTGATGTTCTCTCTCATGATATTTCTCTCTCTTTCCCTTTCCCTTCCTCTCGCTCAAAAAACCAATAAAGAAAAAACAAAATTAAAAGAAAAAAATTTTATCAAAATATTAAATTCTCTTGATATTGGTTATAAATGTAAAGTAAAATATTTAAAACATTAGAAAATTACATTGTTTTATTTGTATATGAGCATCATTTCTATGCCTTGGCAAACTGTCATACTTCTTTCTAAATCTGGATCAGCTTCCACAATTTTATCCTTTGTACTTTCAATGGCAGAAAAATTTGAGTTCCTTTAACGTGAAGTTTTCCATCTGCATCTCTTCCTGAGACACATTCATCCTTTATGACACAACCACTTTTCTCACTTATAACTACGTTTGATTTCATTAAGTTCCTCTGGCTGCATATTCAGAACTACTTCCTGAATGGAGGCAGTATCAACTTTCCATGGTCATCCACATCTTCTATAACTCATTTATGCTCCATCCAAATCCTGCAGTTTTGGTTTTTTTTGCACAGTAGTGTTGTACTACTGTGCAAAGCCAGGACTGCTTGTCATTCTTGGAATCTGGGTACAAATTTCACAGTAGCATCCTTACCTGAACTTGCAGCTTCACCATTTGAGGTTAATGAATTCATGCCAACTCTGAAACAACGAAACCAACTTTTACGGGCAGTAAAATGTTCTTTTTGTTTCCTTGTAATTACCATTTTCTTCAGTGCAGCACTTCGCCACTTTGGCCTGAATGCTAGTGAAAGTGAGGGGCTCTGTTTTTTATTACAGTCCTCAATCTCAAGTAGAAGAGTAGAAGTAAATGCTCCATTTCAACCATAAGCAGATTTCTGTTCCTAGTGCAACTTTAGCTTGTTTTTTATATTCATCAGGCTTTTAAAACATGGTTTGGCTGTAGCTTCATGTAGGTCTAGGTCTCATCTTGTCTTTGCTATCATAACCACGTCCAATTTCACTTCCAGTATTGTCACTTTTTATTTCTTTACTGCTGTCATCTTTGTTGACCAATTCCGTTTTGATTATCCACATTTATAAAATGTCACATAGGTTTATCACTGGAAGAGAAGAAGGCAACACAATAATTCTTTACTGTGTAATGTGAACTAATAGATACTCAGTGGCCAATCACCAACAGACTTTGAAAGAAGTGATTTAACTGGTTACCTATCATGATGCACGTATTTTATTTGCATGATTTATGGAATAAGAGCTAGCAGCAAAGTTTATACAATTCAGTTAATACTGTGGTAACTGAAATTTCAACCATGTTATTGCAGAGCTGGTGTTATTTATTTAAACTGTGAAAAATGCATGTTGGTATGGTGCAAAGTAAGGACTACCTGTACTTAAAAAAAAACTTGTATTAGCTTACAAACAGTCAAATGTTAACCCAATTTAGTTGCCTAGTAGCCACGCCTAATCTTAAAGTAAATAAAAACTGAAGCCTTTTAAAGGAATTCTAGTTCTCAAAGGAATGCTAGTTCCAAGACTCTGAATTACTCAATGGAGGTAGAAGAACATTTGGAGATAATGTAATACAGAATTCTTCAAATTAGGATTTGCAGAGAGTTCAAATATATTCTTTTGACAATTTAGGCCCCTCTCCTCATTTAAATAATCTTGAGGTTTGCAAAAAACTACTGTTGTCCAAAGTGTAAAACTAAACAATCATCACAAGGCACAACTCCATATGTATTTACAACTTACTCCATAGCAACTAGTACCATGTTTACTGCTGTAAATGAGTAGCATCACCCCATTAATATAGTTTTAATTTGTTTTTTTCATGCACTTACTTCGTAAATCTTTTCATTAAGGGCCATAAACAAAGTTCACTTCAGCTTTTAAGGAAAAAAAAGTAACTTAAATCAACATTGAAACAAAAGGAAAAGGAAAAGAGGGACTCTCTCCCTCCTGGGAGCATGCCCACACTCTTTTTCCCTCTCAGGCGTGCATCTTCTAAACCCTAAGGGTCCCCACAAGACTTGCAACCAGGGAAACAGTGGGGAGGCAGCAGCAGCTCAGACCCAGCTAACCCACTAAACATGCCTCCAAGGCCCCCTTTTCTGACTTTCCAGAGAGTCAAAGCAGCCCAGAATAGGCTCATTTCTTTCCTATAGCATTTCCAGAGGGCTAAAGCAGACCTGCCTAGGCTCTCTCCTTTTTCTTTCTTTCTTTTTTTTTTTTTATCCTCACCCGAGGACATTTTTCCACTTTTTGTTCAGGTAGAGTGGGAGGGAGAGAGAAGAAGAGAGAGAGAGAGAGAGAAACATCGACGTGAAAGGGACACAACGAGTGGCTGCCACCCGCACGACCAGCCAGGGCCAGGGACAAACTGCAACTGAGGTACGCACCCTTAGCGGAAACCGAACCCAGGTCTCTCTGGATTGCAGGCTGACGCTCTAACTGCTGAGCCAAACCGGCCAGGGCTCTCCTGTTTCTTATACCCTAAGCCCTTCCTTGTTTCATTGTCCTCAGCTTTAATAAATGTACTTTCAAAATCATCTGGACTCGTTTTGTGAGATCTTTCCTGCATGAAGTCAAGAACCCACACACTAGCCTGGCCAGTGTGGCTCAGTTGGTTGAGTGTTGTCTCATGCACCAAGAAGTTTGATTCCACGTCAGGGCACATGCCTGGGTAGCAGGCTCAACCCCCCAGTAGGGGGTGCGCAGGAGGCAGCCGATCGATATTTCTCTCTCATTGATGTTTCTCTTTCCCTTCCTCTTCTTCTCTCTAAAAATCAATAAAAAGATTAAAAAAAAAAAAAAAGACCCCTCTGGGTCCAGTTCCTGTCCAGTAATAATCACACTATCCAACCAAAAGGTTGATCATCACTATATCCTTTCATTTGATTTATGACCAAAAGGGGAAAATGGGGACCAAAAAAAAAGGATTCTAAGGAAAAAGAAATGTTGAGTATCATATTAATTTTTTCCCTTTATATTCCTGAAATTTGAGAAACACCCTAAGACAACATGCCTAATTAATGACAAATTAACCTGGTATTAGATTTGAGTGCCCCAGCTTCCAAGCACCTGCCTATCTACTATTTTTTTTTTTTTTTAAATCCTCACCTGAGGATATTTTTCCATCGATTTTTAGATAGAGTGGAAGAGAGGGGAATAGAGACAGAAAGGGAGAGAGAGGGAGATATCTATGTGAGAGACACATTAAATGGTTGTCTCCCACACAACCCCAACCAGGGCTGGGCATCAATCCTGCAACCAAGGTACGTGCCCGTGACCAGAAATCAAATCCGAGACCTTTCAGTCCGTGGGCCAATACTCTAACCACTGAGAAAACTGTCCATTACCCAATCTACTATTCTTTTTTTTTTTTTAATCCTGACCCAGACATATTTGCATTTATCTTGAGATAGAGGGGGAGGAAGAGAGAGAGAGAAACATCGATGTGAAAGACAAATCTAGTGGTTGCCACCTGAATGACCCCAACCGGGGCCGGGGATAACTGCAACTGAGGTACGTGCCCTTAGCAGGAACCGAACTCGGGATTCTCTGGTCCGCGGGCCGACGCTCTAACCGTTGAGCCAAACCAGGCCCATCTACTATTCCCGAACAAAGCTTGTTACAGGATGATCACCCACTGGCATATTAGAGTACTTATAAAATATCCAGTAGTTAAGCAAATTGAAACCCCAGAACATACACTCTAAGAATTTCAAGGGTTGGAAGGATTATGTCACTATTTTTAAGAAAATATGTCTATTAAGGTTAAAAGTCCTACCCCCTTGCCCTGGCCAGTTTGTCTGCAGAACAAAGGGTGTCGGGTTCAATACCCAGTCAAGGGCATGCACCTGGGATGCAGAGAATTCCTGGCCCCAGGCCAGGTCATGTGAGTAGCTGCCAATCTTATGTGTCTCTTTCATATTGATGTTTCTCTCTCCCCTCCCTCCCTTTCATTCTATTTAAAAATCAATGGAAAAAATATCCTCGGGTGAGGATTAATAAAAAATTTTAAAAGTCCTGCCCCCCTATCCACCCAATGGCCTATTCTTAATCTAATCTATTAAGTTCTATTATCTTTGAAATCATTTTTGTCATCTTTGAAAGCTGAAAGAAAAAAATTTTAATTGAGTACAATATCCAAATTATATTCAAATGTCAATTTTTTGCTCAGATATTTTTTGTTTCATCAAAACTAAATTATAAATCTCTTACCTCATTATATCAATCTTTGAATTCTTGATCAGACAAATCAGATAAGTGTTCTGTAAGAAAAATACCCCTCAATTTTATTCCTGGAAAAAAAAAAAAAAAAACATTTACAGGTAAATCAATGTACAAAAACTACATATCTATAAGCCTTACAATTTTCTTTTTCTATTATGTCCTCATCCACATACATTAATCACAACAAATCATGATGTGAACAGCAGTGGAAAAAGTTTAATCATTGGACATTTATACTTTCTTATTTTCAACATAAGGTTTTCATTGCTTAGTCCTTCAAAAAAAATACACAATACATGCATATATCTATACATTTCAATTCTCTCATGTAGAACAGACAAGATCTCCAATTTTACTATGATTGGGAAGAACCCTTAACAAAGATAATCTCAAGTATATCCTTTATCTACTTCACACAGATTACTTTATGCAAACTTACAGTTATCTTCTTTTCATCATCAGGCCTGATATGGAAAGGGTAATCATATCTTAATACATTCCAAAACTGGTTATGTCTTGCTGTGTATGTAATACTTCCCAAGATCAGAAGTTTTAAAATTTTAAAAGAGGGAAGGGTGCCTTGGCAAGTGTGCCTTAGTGGTTAGTGCTGGACTGCACATCAAAGAGTCTTGGGTTTGATTCCCAGTCTAGGGCATGTACTTGGGTTGCAGGTTCGAACCCTGGTCTGGGTGTGTGCCGGAGGCAACTGATCGCCTCGACACATCAATGTTTCTCTCCCCCCTTCTCTCTCTTCCACTCTTTCTTAAAAAATAAATAAATAAATAATAAATAAATAAATCAGCCCTGGCCGGTTTGGCTTAGCACTTAGAGCGTTGGCCTGTGGTCCAGAGAGCCCCAGGTTCAGTTCCCGGTAAGGGCACGTACCTCAGTTGCAGTTTGTCCCCGGCCCTGGTTGGGTTGTGTGGGTGGCAGCCACTCAATGTGTCCCTTTCACGTCGATGTTTCCTCTCTCTCTCTCTGTCTTCTTCTCTCTCCCTCACACTCTATCTGAACAAAGAACGAAAAAATGTCCTCGGGTGAGGATATAAAAAAATCATCCCTGGCCGGTTTGGCTCAGTGGATGGAGTGTCAGCCTGTGGACCAGAGTCCCAGGTTCGGTTCCTGCTAGGGGCATGTACCAGGAAAAAAAAAAAATCAAAGGAAAAAATATCGTTGGGTGAGAATTAACCAATAAAAAAACCAGGTGGGGGGAAGGTTGTCTCTTTTAACATATTGTTGACTGCTCCTGAGTTAACTCATGTTTTTATGCCCAAACATTGTTGACTGATCACGAGGTACCTCGTGTTTTCATGTTCATTAGCTATTTCAATTTTTCAAACTCAAGGTAATATAGAATTATTGTATTTGTGACTCTTCGCCTTGAGGGTGGAAGTTCAAAAAACAGCACACCATTCTATATTCCCATGTGGACTCCTTTTCTTCCCAATCCTCCGAGAGTGAGACCGCAAAATTGAAGGTACAGTAAACAAAAACAATCACAGCTGCCTAAACTTGAACTATCTTCTAACTGCTGGCAGTTTGAATGTACACATCAAGGATATTGTAAAATCCAAGTAGAACGTGAAGCGCGTGTTTCAAAAGAAAAGTACAGGGAAACCAGATATATTCGCAAAACATGTTGCGTACCATTATACTTAGGTGATTGCTATACAGTATACCACACCAAAAAAATTACTAAAATATATAATATGGCCCTGGCCAGTTTGGCTCAGCGGTTAGAGCGTCGGCCTGCGGTCCGGAGAGACCCGGGTTCGGTTCCCGCTAAGGGCACGTACTTCGGTTGCAGTTTGTCCCCGGCCCTGGTTGGTCGTGCGGGTGGCAGCCACTCGATGTGTCCCTTCACGTCGATGTTTCTCTCTCTCTCTCCTTCCTCTCTCTCCCTCCCATTCTATCTGTACAAAAAATGGAAAAATATCCTCGGGTGAGGATAAAAAAAATAAATAAATAAATAAATAAATAAAAAAAATATATAATATGTATAAAATTTCATTTAAATTCATTATGTATAAATAAAGTATACTTAAGTTTATTTGGATTGTTTCACTTTCATACTCAATTACGAAAAAATAGCCGGTGACATGAGATAACTTCTGCATAAAATTGCCGGTCAACAGTGTGTTAACAAATAACTTATAAGCAGTGATAAAGGGAAAAGAAGACTAAAAAGATTACAAAACTCAGATACTAATTCGAATTATTCAGAACATTCTGATTGCTTGCCAATTTTGCTCATTAAGTAGGACACATGACCAGCTGTCATGTTGTGAGGACACTCGGGCTGCCAAATGAAGAAAAACTGAAGTCTTCAGCCAACAGCCATTAAGAAACTGAGGCATGCCAACTGAGGGAGTTTGGAAGCTGATGTCCCCCTCCCCCCACCATAAGTGTTTATTATTTTTAACTACTATGTTTTGGGCAATGTGTTACATAACAATATAAGTAATATGGAGGACCACAATTCATATCCAAAAAGTAAAATGTGCAACTTATGAATTAGCTGTAAAGGTCTGAAATTTTGAGGGAAGAATCAGATTTAGAATTGTCTTTGTATTCGGTCACCAACAATTTCAATACCCCAAGGCTTTCTGAAGCAAAAAAACAAAAAAAACAAACCCCAAATAACTATAAAGATGAAAAATTCAGCAAGAATATAAATCAGTTACTAGAAATACACTTTATTATATCAAGACAACAAAATAAAGATTCTAGTAGCACTAGCTAAGAATCTGACAAAAGGGTAGGTGTTCAACAAAGAAAATACCAGTCCTAGAAAGCAAAAAGTCTATCTGCCTTCAAAGGGTTTGTTGTGAGAAACAGTGTTAAAAACAAAACAAAAATCTGTATGTCTGTGTGTCTAAAACACTTAGCACTATGCCTGTTCAATTAGCATTAGCTGTTATTATTTTTTCCCAGGTGACCAATTAATGAGATTCTATACCATAAAATATAAATCCATTTTTCACTTGGATAATCTTCCATTTCCAACTCACTGCTATTGTTCCAGGAATACATACTACGTTTAAGATAGAAAGACATACTACCTCCCCTGCATATTTTGAGTCATCTTCCAAGACCCAGGAATCTTCTTCCGTCACCTCCAAGAATGTAATTCCTGTCTGTCCTGGCTGATGTGGCTCAATTGGAGAGTTGTCCTGTACACTGAAAGCACTCGGGTTCGATTTCCAGACAAGGCACATATTTTGGGTTCAGTCCCTGGTTGGGGTACATACAAGAGGCAACCACAACCAATCAATGTTTCTCTCTCTCTCTCGCTAAAAAAAAAAAAAAAGAAAGAAAAAGGGGAATATAAAAAGAGATGTTTCCTTTTAAATTATTTTGTGTAACAACCAATGCCTTTTGCAAATAACATCATTAATACAGCTTACATATCCTCATTAACATATTCAATAATCACAACGGTTCATTATGTGAACAGCAGTGAAAAGGTTTAATCACTGGATATGAAGTTACTGGAGGAAGGAAAGATATAATCAAATGATCAAAATGAGAACCTCATGTCATCAGTAAAACAGTAGAAAATAACAACAAAAAAGCATGTGAAAGTGATAGACAAGTATCAAGATAAACTCAACTGAAAAGATGTTCGTTTAAAAGGGAGTATATAGATGTCTAGCCAGAAGCACAGTAACAATACCTATGGCAGTGATTCCCTTGTGGCAGTGGTTATCTTCATTTAAACAGTCTACAACATTTATGTAAACCTGTTCTCCAGTACAGCAGTTTTCAGTTATTCATTGGTAATAAGAATGCATCAGAATAATGTGTGAGCCACACTATTTCATCTTTCCCAGGAAAGATGAAATCCAATTAACCAGAAAAGAAAAAAGGCCTCTTTTTCTGTATTCTGCTGCAGAATTGGCAGCACTGGTACTTTCAACTCTATCTTTAAAAAAGTGAAAAATGGCCCTGGCTAGTGTGGCTCAGTTGTCCCAAGCACCTGGACGTTGCAGTGATGACAGGGCTTCCAGCTCGATCCCCAGTAGGGGGCGTGCAGGAGGCAGCTGATCCACGTTTCTTTCTCTCTCTCCGATGTTTCTCTCTCCATCTCCCTTCCTCTCTCTCTAAAATCAATCAAAACATATAATTTTAAAAATGTAGACATTTTGAAAAAAGCGTGCCTGCACCTAGGGGTCCCTTCCCAGCCCCATCCACCACCCCTCCCTAGTTCTTAGCAGGTTCCACTGTTTCTGAACCCATTTTAACAGCAGCCCATTAGCCCAGAGCTCCACCTCCATCTGTAAAATCTAGCACCCACTAGCCTTGCTCTTTTAATACACCCTATGGCAGTATCCATTGAAAGTTACCTTTAATGGGGTGGGAGGGCATAAGAGTATTTCCCTGAGCTAATCACTGCTTATTTTCATGATTATCAAATTGCATAAGTTTTGAGTAATCAACCCTATCTTCTCCATAAGCCCTAGTTCTTTCAAATGCACAATTTTGCTGAACATGAAGTTTTTTTCAGGAACATATATGTCATTGGAGCAGAAACACATGTATCTATTTGTGTGCCAGGGGCTGAAAAGACAAATTCACTTTGGACATTGTCTCTGCACTCAAGGAGCATCTTCTAGCAGGTTCCTTATAAAATTTGAGTCCTGCCCTGGCCGGTTTTGCTCAGCGGTTAGAGCGTCGGCCTGCGGTCCAGAGAGACCCGGGTTCGGTTCCCGCTAAGGGCACGTACCTTGGTTGCAGTTTGTCCCCAGCCCTGGTTGGGTCGTGTGGGTGGCAACCACTCGATGTGTCGCTTTCACGTCGATGTTTCTCTCTCTCTCTCTCTCTCTCTCTCCCTCTCACTCTATCTGAACAAAATATCGAAAAATGTCCTCGGGTGAGGATAAAAAAATAATAATAATAAATAAAATAAAATAAAATTTGAGTCCTTAAAAATAGGACAACCACCACAGTAAGATACTACTTACTCCATACAAATGAGAACATGGAGAAACTGGAACCCGTATCCATTGCTAGTGGCCATTGTAAAACGATGCAGCCACTTTAGAAAAAGTTTGGCATTTCCTCAAGAGGTTCAACATAAGAGTTAGCATATAACCCAGCAATTCCACTTAGGTATAGACCCAAAAGAAAAACAGGTCTACACACAAATTTGTACACTAATGTTCACAGCAGCATTATTCATAATTGCACCCCCCCCCCATCAAACTGCAAACAACCCAAATGTCCACCAACTGATAAATAAAATGTGGTATACACATACAACATAATATCTTTTGGCAATTAAAAAAAAAAAAAAAAATGAAGTACCTATATATACTACAACATGGATGAACCTTCAACATTCTAAGTGAAAGAAGCCAGAAGCCAGTCACAAGGACCATATATTAGTTTGACTCCATTTATATAAAATGTCCAGAATAGGGTAATCTACATGGACAAAAAGATTAGTGGTTACCAGGAGCTGGGAGTAGATAAGTGTAAGCAGTGACTGCTAAGGAGAATGAATTTGGGGGGGGGGGGGGGGCGCATTGACAAAAAAATGTTCCGAAATGTGGTGATGGTTGCATAACTCATAAATATACTAAAAACCACTGAACTGTACGCTTTAAATGGGCTAATAGTATGGTATATGAATTACATACCTAAATAAGACTCTTACCAAAAAAAGGGCAACCAATTTTTTCCTTAAAAAAATGTAAACTATTATTTCTGTTTAGCCTCATTCAGGCCTTAACTGGTTACTAGAAAAGTTTCTAATAGTCTAACCAACTGACAGTGATTTAAATTCAAGTCCTACACTTTGCACATCTTACAGCCAAGTAAGCTCACTCCCCATGGGTCAATTTTCACCAAATGTGACTTTTTTTTTTGGTACCTGCCCCTAGCCGAAACAAACCCGGTATACTCTGTGGTCCACAAGCCAATGCTCCAACCGCTGAGCCAAACCGGCCAGGGCCCAAATGTGACTTTTAAGAAAGCTATATAAGCAAGAGTTCTGTTAATTTCATTCAAATAGGATATAAACATTTTTAAATTGAAAGTAGATGTGAATAAATAATACCTTGAGCTGAGTCTTTTTTGATGGAATCTGGACAAAGTAAAAAAAAGGGAAAAAAGAAGCAATCTTGCTTGGAAATGTAATCATTCTTCCGAGCTAAAAAAAAGAAATGGAAAAGTTACAAACATTTCTGTTAAGCAGAAGAGAAAGAAAACCACTTAATATGCTAAGGATCTCTTCACAGATACAAAACGGGGGGGGGGGGGCACAAAACAATGTCCTAATTGGCCCCATTTTGTTTCTTCTATGAAAATTGAAGTCCCATACCATAAACATAAAGACGTCTTCCTAAGACCTTCTCACTCCTGAAAGCTATCCATGATGCCCCACACTTAGCATTGCTACTGAAAGAGTCAAGGACCTTACCTTACTTCCTTAATTCCTGCATTGTTTTAAAGGGTCTTGCAAAACTGTGTCCGTTGAATTAAAAGTCGACGTATTCTATTAGACTTATTCAAGCTCTTCTAGGGTCACATACCTACGCCCAACCATACCAACAGCTCCCACATTATCTCCGCATCAGGGAAACTACCAAAAACAACGAAAAAAAAAAAAAACAAAACAAAATCTACATGCCTCTTAGTAAATTATTTTTGGCTGAATTTGTCTTCGATACTTCCAGAGCACATGCATTTATCCCTCTCCCTACTATCCCTTCTTCCCATCATATCCTCCATTCCCTTTCAGCGATCGCAGCCGGAGAGACCCATCGTCATGCCCCTGGCTACGCCTCAATGTTGGTCCTGCCTCTCCGCTTCGCATTCTTAGGCTTGGTCTCACAAGAAGCACGATGGCACTGGATTGATCACAGCGGGTGAAAACAGCAGAAAAATAACCCAATTCCAGCAAAATCACGTAACCACCCTCGAACACAGAGGGAGGAGTGATCAAGTGCTTGTCTTAGTGGCCCTGGCCTTTCCGATTGGCTGCTGCGGCACGACGTGGCCTGTGATTGGTCACGGAGTTAAGCGCCGCGCCACATGATGGAAGGGGGAGAGTCCTGCGCTTTAAGAGCCCGCCTTCCCGACAAATAAAGGTCGCGGACGGCGAGCGGGCGGAGCTAAATTTTTCGTGATTCGTGCAGTTCCGGGAACATCGAAAGTGGAGCCCCTCATAGTAAGAAGATGACCCGAAGTTGCTCGGCAGTGGGCTGCAGCACCCGGGACACCGTGCTGAGCCGCAAGCGCGGCTACTCTTTCCACCAGTGCGTGAGAGCAGCCTCGGAGCTGCCTTAACCCCCAGCACTGCCAGGCGGGCAGTAGGCCAGGGTGGGGCGGGGCCGGGCAATGTGTGGCGCATCGACGTGACGTGCTTGCCGTGCGTAACGCGTGACGGAGGAAGGAAACTGGGGAACGTGGAGGGTTAAGGTCGCTCCAGCTTTTCCCGCTCAGTGATAGCCTCCGAATTGCTGGTGCTTTCTCATTGCCTACCGTTTGCCAGTGGCTTTTAGCGACAGTTACGCGGAAGAAATCTGCTTCCTTTCTGTCTTATTATTTAACGTGAGCCTGGAAGAGAGGGAAGGTTGGGAGAGCTCTTGAAGTCGTGCGGTTCCATTTGGAGTGTGAGGGTTGCTCCAGAGCAAGAGCCCAGATCAGTTTCCGCGCGTCGTGCCTGCCAGTACAGCTTGTTCAGTAGTAGTCGCCGAGCTCTACCACGCCGGTCGCATTCTGGCTGGAACTGGCCGTGGCCAGGAGGCTTCTTTTGGTCAAGAGGAGGGCACACCTTCAGACTGATCTATTCTGAACCCACATCTATGGTCCAGGCTGGTGTACAGGTCTTTAAAATCAATGCTCAAGGCACAACGGGAAATAGAAACGTAGATAGAATATCCTCACAGACAAAACGAAACGTACTTTGACAAGAGGTAACCTATTGAGATGCACAGTTAAGCCATTGACAGCACTTTTATACGATCAGAAAGAGCTTTAGGGGCCCTGGCCACTTTGGCTCAGCGGTTAGCGCGTTGACTGGCAGACCAAAGAGTCGCGAGTTCGGTTCGGTTCTGGTCAAGGGCATGTACCTCAGGTGCGGTTCGGTCCCAGCCTTGGTTGGGGTCATGAGACACTCATTCTCTCTCTCTCCCTCTCTCCTTCCTTCCTCCCTCCCTCCCTCCCTCCCTCCCTTCCTTCCCTGTCTGTCTGTCTGTCTGTCTGAAAATAAATGGAAAAATATCCTCAGGTGAGGTGAGGATTAAAAAAAAAAAGCTTTATGGGACAGGTGATGATTAAGTTGGACCTTGAACCTTACCTAGATTGGGGGTTGGGGATGGAAGGAGGATAGCACGGAAAAATGTAAAGGGATGGAGTGTGCAGGTAAAATGTACAGGAGTGGAAAAAGTAAATTGGAAACAAATTATTTTAAAAAACTAAAATGTCAGCCCTAGCCCCTTTGCTCAGTGGTTAGAGCACCCGCCCATAAACTGAAGGGTCTAGAGTTCAATTTCTGGTCAAAGGCATGTACCTGGGTTGCAGATTTGATCCTGGCCTCTGTCAGGGTCATGAGGGAGGCAACCAATGGATGTGTCTCACATCCATGTGTTTTGATTTTTTTTTACTCTTCCTCCTTGCTCCCACCCACTCTATTTAAAACAAAATCCATGGGAAAATATCTTTGGGTGAGGATTAACAACAAAAAATGTGGTCAGGTTAAGGAGTTTCAACTATGTATGGTAGGCCTTTTGTAGTCATTGTTTTTCTTTTTTTCATTCCTCCACTTAAACTGTTATACTTGTATCCTTTCCATTCCCCTCAGATTTTTTCCCCACCAATTACACTGCTCTCTTATAGATTACTTGCCTCAAGTTAGTGAGCATGGTTACATTACAGCCCACTTATCTGAAAGTAGAGCATTCCTCTGAAACTTCATAAGCTGAAATGGCATAAAATGAAGAGTAAGTTTGCATTCAGAAAGTTGGCATTAAACCATTCCACTTTTACAAGAGACCTACATTGGTACCTGTTTTCACACACACACACACAAAAATCCAGATGATTTCTGGGGGAGCGATTACTGTATTAATTAGATCTTTTGTTCAGGAAAGTAGCCTAATTCAAATTTCAGTATGGGGGATATCTGTACTTAATGTTTTTAAACACAGACACAATCTCTTGAGCCTTTATGCACCTGTACACTACCCTACCTACCACTTTCCTTCCGCTTATAACCAGACTCCTCAAAACAGGAGCATATACCTACTTTCCTAAGTCCCAGTGATTTTTTTTCCAACCTACTGTAGCCATGTACCTGTTATCACTGCTCTAGTGAGACAACTGACAAAGGGTCACTTGCCAAATCTAAGTGAACACTTCTAAATCCCCTTGACCTCTTTTTAATTTATTAATTTTAGAGAGAGACAGAAACATCAGTTTGTTGTTCCACTTATTTATGCATCTGTTGGTTGATTCTTGTATGTGCCCTGACCCGGGATGGAACCTGAAACCTTGGTGTGGCTGGACTATACTTTAACCAACTGAGTTACTAGGCCAGGGCAACCTCTTTTTAATTTTTAATCATATTTACTCCCTGAAACTCTTACCTCCCTTGGCTTTATTGACACACTCTCCCTATTTCTCTTCCTTTTCTAATCCAGCAATTTTTTGCTGCCCTGCTTTTCCTGTGCCTTCTTCTTAGGTTACTTAAGTAGGGAAGAACTCATGTATTGCTTTTATTTGTTACATTGAGGGCCAAAGTAAGACCTTAATTTTTTAAATGATGCATTATTATAATAGTTATTACAGTAGTCTGCCAGCTATGATTCTTCCAGCCTGATTTTTTTCCCCATTCATCCCATTTTCTAGATTCCTGGCAGTTTTTCTAAAAACGCAAATTTTATCATGCTGGTTCCCTGAAGGAAGAATTTTAATCCCTTGGGCTTTCTAATACCTCAAAGACAAGAGTCCAAGCTCCTCTGTAAAGCTTTTCTTCATACAAATCTCGTCCAACCTGAATTACAATATTTCTATTACTATATATATGCACTGAATTAAACACATGTCTGTATGAATGGAAAGGAATCATCTTTTTCTTCTTGCCATCTAAGGAAGGCAGGAGAGACATGAAAAGGAGTTAGAGTACTATGGTGTTAGTCCTAGCAGCAACAAGGTAGTATTAATCTGAATTTATGGCTCAGCTAAAAAGGTAATATGGGAAGGAAAGACTTAGTCAACTTGCCATTGCCTAAAACTGTCATCTTCACACTTTTTGATCATTGAGTTCTCAAAATAAAAAAAATTTGAGTACATGCCCCAAAATATGCATAGTGATTTATAAATTACATATATGAAGTGATATTAATATATATTAGTATAACAAAAATCAAAAGATGGGGTGAAAAATTATAAAAATATTTTTTTATAATTTTCTTCAGATTGCAGTGGTGGCCACTGACCTGAAGGATGGACCCACAACTTATTATCATACAAGACCCTTTGTGATCTGGCCTCCAGCTACCTCTCTAGCCCTCTGTAACCACTCCCAGCTACCTCTGTACTCTCCTTACCCAAATTACTTATTTTTCAATGCTTTTATATCTGTGTCTTTGCATCTGTGTGGAGTGGCCACTGTCTGCATGGCAAACTCCTATTGACACTTCAGCTCTAGCTTCAATATTATCTCCTCTGTAGCCTTCCCCAACATCCCCCAGTACTAGCACCAGGGTTGTGAAAGAAGTTGTGAAGACATAGGCAAAAGGCTCTGATTGAAAAGCATGAATCAAAATGATTCAAAGGTGTGGAAATGTAAGGGAATATTGGTGCTCTGTCAAACAAATGGCTAAATATGAAGTGAGACTGGCAAGTTAAAAATTAATGCGACCCTTTTATTTCTTTTTGATGTAAAGAGATTAAGAAATTTAATTTATTTCATGACCAAAGAAATATATATACAATAACTTGAAAAAGGTTTTGCCTGAATTGTAATGAATTGTTTTTTAACTTTTAATTATGAAACATTTTAAACACACTGGCAAGCAAATAATAATATATAGCAGACTCTTATGTACCCATAACTGGGATTAAATAGATGTTAACATTTGCCTAGTTTTAGATTTTTGTTTTCTTTAGAAGACACTTAAGTTATAGATATAATTAAAACCTTAACCTCACTCCTCCCCAGAGGTAGCTACTATAGATGGGGTTTTTGTTAGCCACTTTTCTGGAAAATCGTTAATGTGCAGGGAGCCAAAGGTAAATTCCTGCCAGAATGTAAAAAAGGCATAGTAAACAGGAGAAAGAAAATGGATTCTGTATTACAGTGTAAACCAATTCATTACTGTGTGTATGAGATGATGATTGGTTTGGGATTTTTCTTCTGCTGGAGGTGGCTTTAGATTAGGGAGACGTGAATTCCATTTTCAACAGACTATTCTGGTGGCTATATTTGGTTCTGGTTTTGGTTTCATCTTCTGTAAAAGAATAGAAACCTGTCTTGCAGAGTTTTTGCAAGACTGAAACTAAACCTTTAAAATATGTATAGCACAAGGTAAATGCTTTAATTGTAGTATCAGTTATTATTGCCAATTTAATTTTGTCCATAATTCAAATTAGTCATGCCGGTAGACTACAGTATTTCCTATCCCTTTAATGTCAGTTTACACATAAGAAATATTTATTTAATACTTTGGGGCAAACCAGCCAAGCTCTTTGGAACTGGTTTGATGTAATTACTTCAATCAAGGGCTCCAGGTGGCCTAGGTCACTCCATGGGGTGAGGAGATTGATAGCTGTGCTCACTGACATGCCAATTGGGAAGCTTTGCTTCAGAGGATCAGGCTAATCATGTCACTTGGTGGATTAGCAAGTGATGGTTCCTTGCATGGTTAGAGATGACACCCAATTTGTGGGAATGCTGCTTCACAAATGTGCTATTAGTTAAGAAAAGAACCTAATGAAAAGGAACAGGTTTACCTCTCCTTTATTGGAAAAACAATTCCTTGTACATTATGTCTTGACCAAATAGCATCATCTTTCTAGAACAATCAAAAAAAGAAAGTCTCACCCTGGCCAGTTTGGCTCAGCAGTTAGAGTGTTGGCCTGCTGACCAAAGAGTTGAGGGTTCAGTTCCGGTCAAGGGCATGTACCTCAGTTGTGATTCATTCCCAGGCCCTAGTCAGGGTCCTGTAGGAGGCAGCTAGTTAAGATGTCCCTCTCATGTTGATGGTTCTCTCTTTCTCCTTCCCACTCTATCTGAAGATAAATGGAAAAATATCCTCGGGTGAAGATTTTAAAAATAGTCTGAAAGTAGAATTAGTTATTCCTAGGAAAAAGTAAAGTTTGAATAATATTTATCATATACAAAATGCTTTTGAGTGCATTTATAGCCTCATGTACTCTTACAATAGCCCTATGAGGCAGCTCAAAGATTGAGATGTATCTAGTACCATGTGGCTGATAAATGGTAATTGAGGCTTAAATACAGGTTTTTGAATTCAGTGTTTTTTCTCAAGGTTACTGAGAGAGTATATCAGAATTATATTTTACCGTACTGCTATATTATTTCCCTAACAATTAGATGAGGAAATGAAAACCAATTTTAGTTCCTAACAACTATATACTTTAACGTCTAAATTAAAATATACAAAAATCATATAGCATAGATCTGTTTTCAATATAAATCAACAAAAAAGGTACAGAAAGTGTCATTTTTGTGATTTTCATTATATGAATTTCATGAGTTTTTTCTTAACCCATTTCAAAACATAATTTGGCTGGGATTGAAAAATAGAGAAATACAAACTAATTTTTATATTCAAGGCTAGGAAAAACAATGCCTTTCAAAACAAAATAGGAAAATTAAGGATAGGTAATGTACTTCTTTTCTACTGCTGAATAACAAATTTCCTCAAAATTCAGTGGAAACATTTATTATTTTACATAATCTCTGAGGATCAGGAATTCAGGAGTGGATTAGCTGGGTGTTACAGGGTGTCTCTTAAGATTGCAGTCATCTAAAGGCTTGACTGAGGCTGAATGGTCTTTCAGACAGGTTCACTCACGCGTCATTTGGCTGGAGGCCTGTTTCTTAACAGAGCTCTTATAGGGCTGCTTAGGACGTGGCATATAACTTCCCCTCAGAGAAAACCTATTCAATAGAGAGAATAAGGAGGAACCCTCAGTGCCTTTTATGATCCAGTCTCATTGTCCACTATCACTTCTACTTTTTTTTTTTTTTTTTTGTGGTACATGCCCCTAGCCGGAACCGAATCTGGGACTCTCTGGTCCTCAGGCCAACGCTCAACTGCTGAACCAAACTGGCCAGGGCTCCTACTTTTTTAATATTCCATAGAAGCAAGTCACTAACTCCAGCCTACACTCAAGGGGAGGGGAATTAGGCTCCACTCCTTGGAAGGAAGAGTACCAAAGAATTTGTGGACATGGTTTAAAATCACCAGTGGGGAGAAAAATTGTCCCAGAAAAGGAAAACACATTAAATTTGAGCTGATTCTATTAAACGTAGGCAGTAAAGACAAAATGTGGTAGGATATTTACTGTAAGAATTGCCCCCATACAAATTAGAACAGACAAGATCACTTATTGAACTTCTAGATTCAAAAACATCAAATTTGAAAAATGAAATTAGCCCTGGCTGTTTTGGCTCAGCGATTAAAGCATCAGCCTGTGGTTCAGAGAGACCTGGGTTCAGTTCCCCCTAAGGGCGCATACCTCGGTTGCAGTTTGTCCCTGGCCCTGGAGGGGTCGTGTGGGTGGCAACCCCTTGATGTGTCCCTTTCATGTCCATGTTTCTCTCTTCCTCTCTCTCCCTCCCACTCTATCTGAACAAAAAATGGAAAAATGTCCTCGGGTGAGGATAAAATAAATAAATAAAAATCAATTAAAAAAAGAGAAAAATTAAATTAAGCAAATTAAACTTTAACTGAACTTAATGTTTATATAAAATCAGTTAAACGGGTTTATATCTGCTGTAGCATTACTATAATATTTTCATGTTAATGGAACTTTAATATGATTGCTATAGATTTCCAACTGATACCATACAGCGCTCAAAATGGATCAGGGCTGTTAATCGTGTGGACCCCAGAAGCAAAAAGATTTGGATCCCAGGACCAAGTGCTATGCTATGTTCCAAACATTTTCATGAAAGTGACTTTGAGTCATATGGCATAAGAAGAAAGCTGAAAAAAGGAGCTGTGCCTTCTGTTTCTCTATACGAGGTACTTAAATCTAGGTGTAAACAAAACAATTTTACAGAACCTTAAAAATCAAGATAACTTACATTATAGCTAAAATCTGCTAAGATTTAAAAACAAACAAAAAAACAACCTATATACCCTAGGTCTTAATATAAATCCAGTAATAGATTTTAAATGCTTAGAAAATTTGTTTTGTTTATTTTTAACTCTATAATGTTATATTAGTAATTCTGCTTTAGTAATTACTTAGTAATTACGTTTTTAAAAAAGTAATTTTACTTTTTTTTAAAAAGTAAAGTAAACATACATCATATGTCTAGATTTACATAAAGGTTACTAAACTGATCATAAAAATCAGCTAGTGGACATAAAAAAAACCTGGACTTAGAATTCAAGTTTTTACATGAATTATGAGACAACTTTCATAATACTTTGAAATTACCCCTGTTTTGGCTCTTCCCAATAATGTTATTGATCTTAACCAAAGATGTAACTAATTATTAGTGTTGACATAGAGAGGTATACAGAAATAGAAAACTTTCTATGAGTCAGTCACCAGTATTAGTGTTAACATTCTTGTTTCTTTTGTCTTTTTATTTTATCCCTTGGCCCCTTAGCCACACTCTTGTACATGGCTCTGACTGCACAGTCTGCAATATCATCTGACTGTTCTATCCTGCCACTACCCTTACCTTCCTCTTATTCTGTGGAATCTACTTCCTTTGATATTGTTTTTTCTTATTACCTTATTCAGAAGAATATAGTTGATATTAAATCTAAACTAATAAGTTCCAAGAGCTTCCTATTTAACTGAGTTGTGCATTTCTCACTGCTTTGAACTACCTTTTCGAACCACATATACTTGCCCACTGTATATGTAGTAAATTGACTTGCTTTCATGCTTTTGTGTAAAATCAATAATAATTACTATTTATTGAGACCTATAATAGTTTAGGCATTGTACTAGGAAATTTACATAAATTATCTTCCTGCACCCTCAAAACAAATGAGGAGATGAGGAATTGCAGAGATTAAGTGGCAGCTAACAAGTGAGGGAGCTGGGATTTGAACCCTGGCTATTCTTAATTCCAAAGATTTAAGGCTCGGTCCATTATGCCTTCCTTTTTGCACAAGTAACTTCCCTGTTTCCTCCATTAAGCTCCTTCAAAGAACTACTCAAAAACCCGTATCTATGAAGACTTCCCAAATTTCCACCTTTCTCTAGTTACTTTAATCATTTCAGAAACTTAACAAACCCTGTTTACATTGTCCTACAGTCTATACATTTTAAAAAATCAGAAATTATGATTTCTTTAATAACTAACTCTCCACAGCAACCAGGTAAGTGGTTTGCATTTAGTGGTATTTTTATAGGTAATTCTGTGATAATTTCTAAAATAACCTTAATTTTTTATTTCTGTCATAGGTTCTCCAAGGTGTACATCTTAAAGGTAAAGCAAGACAGAAAATCCTAAAGGAGCCACTTCCTGATGATTCTGAAGAAGTTGCTACAGAGGACCATAACTACAGTTTAAAGAGACCTTTGACAGTAGGTGCGGAGAAATTGGCTGAAGTGCAAGAGATGCTACCATTGTCAAAAAAAAGACTTGTTCCTGTAAAAAACTATAGGATGATCAAGAAGAGAAAGGGCTTACGATTAATTGATGCACTGGTAGAAGAGAAACTACTTTCTGAAGAAACAGAGTGTCTGCTACGAGCACAATTTTCAGGTATGTCCCCCAGTGACCTGTAATATTTACAAAATAGCTCTTAATTTTTCTGAAATATTATTAAATACCTGTACTAACTTTGCTATTGCCTCTGCAAAGATGCATTTTGGCTGAAAAGTGAAAAGTCTCAGTAGCATAAGCAAGAAGAATGAAAAGTAATTGTCAAAATCCTTTTATGGTTTTCCAATTTTAAAAAGTAATATGTTTACCCCCATGTTCATAGCAGCACTATTTATAATAGCTAAGATCTGGAAACAACCCAAGTGTCCATCAGTAGACGAATGGATAAAAAAGCTGTGGTACATATACACAATAGAGTACTATGCAGCTGTAAGAAAGATCTCTTATCCTTTGAGATGACATGGAGGGGCCTGGAGAGTATTATCCTAAGCGAAACAAGCCAAGTAGAGAAAGACAAATATCACATGATCTCACTTATTTGTGGAATATAATGAACATAACAGTCTGAGGAACAGGGTAGACCCAGAGACGTGGAAGTAGGGTACAGACTGACAACCCTCAGAAGGTGGGTGGAGGGAAGAGATAAACCACAGAACTTATATGCATGTACACATAACCGATGGACATGGACAAACAAAGCTGGGGATGGGGTGGGGGGGATGGGGAGAAGGGTGTCAATAGGGAAAAAGGGAGAATCATCTGTAACAAAAATAAATTAATAAAAAAAATTTTTTTTTAAAAGTAATATGTTTAGCCTGGCTGGTGTGGCTCAGAGGTTGTGCGTCAACCCATGCACTAAGAGGCTGCTGGTTCAATTCCTGGTCAGGGCACATGCCCAGGTTGTGAGCCTGATCCCTGGTGGGGGCATTCGGGAAGCAGCCAATCAATGTTCTCTCTCATCAATGTTTCTATCTCTCTCTCCCTCTCCCTTCCTCTCTCTAAAAATCAATAAAGAAAAAAAAAAGTAATGTTTATTATAGGAAAAGCAAAGAAATATATAAATGATAAAAATAACACATCATCCTACTACCCAGAGTTGAGATCATATGGTTTATACCATATACTGTATTTGTCACTTTTTATAATAGCTTTACCATTGTTACCTCAAATTCTCTATAAACCATTTTAACTGCTACATAATTTATCACTAAAGTCTTTTTGCAATGGAGTTGAACTTGATAATTTGCAGAATCCCTTTGAGCTTGAAAATTGTATGAATCTCCAATTTTTTTCTATAGGGTAAATGTATGTGTCTATTGAAAAAATACCTAGTCTTTTTTGTGAACCAAGATGTTTGAAGAGAGGCAAAATTAGAATTGCCAACTTCCTCTTTGATGAAAGAAACAGAGATATTGGATTTCTATTCTGGTAAATAAGAAGCATGTCCTGTTTCTAGAAGAAGATTATGTATCTCTAAAGGAGGAGAATTTTTGGGTTTTTCCAAGTGGGGAATAGAGGTAATAAATAGACATCCCCACCAGGAACAGAAGTGTTTGTTTGCTTTTTTTCTCAATAGTAGGCAAGATTGTCTGTTCAAACCGAATATAGTGCTCTATCTCCAGAAATGTTTCTCATGTCTAATTTTTACCCTCAGATAAATGTAATCAGGGAACAAAATAAAACAATAAATGTCTTCATAATCAAGATACTTAATTTTATCCAGTTATTTTCTTTTCTTTCCTGTTCGAGTCAGGCTGACATGATTAAACGTAGTGATTAAAGTTTAAACTTTTTTTTCCCTCTTTCTGGTGAAATGATTCGAGATGAACAGGATAAACTGGTCAGCAGACTCAAAAATAGGGTAGTAATCTCTGAACAAACTCAGTTAAAATGTGATTGTATTTTGGTGCCCAGTGTATTTGATATGCAAATTCTATGCTTTATACCTAAAATGTTACTATATGCATTTTTCATCACAAAACAATAAATACATTTATTTTAACAGATTTTAAGTGGGAATTGTATAACTGGAGAGAAACATCTGAGTACTCCACAGAAATGAAGCAATTTGCATGTACACTGTACTTGTGCAGTAGCAAAGTCTATGATTATATAAGAAAGATTCTTAAGCTGCCTCATTCTTCCATCCTGAGAACGTAAGTGAATTACTTTTTAGATGTAATATTTTGTCCTTTTATTGCATTCTACACATTAAGGCTGTTAGTGGTCACACTCTTCTTTATTAGTCCATTTTCTTTTATAAAAAACTTCCTAGGTCCTCGCCTGGCCAGTGTGGCTCAGTGAATTGAACATCGTACCGTGGACTGAGAGGTCCTGGTTCAGTTCCCTGTCAGGGCACATGCCTGGGCTTTGGGCTCGATCCCCAGTGGGGGGTGTGCAGGAGGCAGTCAATTGATATATCTCTCTCATATCAATGTTTCTATCTCTCTCTCCCTTCCTCTCTCTCTAAAAAATCAATAGAAACATATATTTAAAAATTTCCTAGGTTGTATTTGCATATTGTCACAATCAATGTTTTTACCAGCAAAATGCAGACATATAATCTGACATGTTTTGTATCTTCTAGATCAGCAGTTCTCAACCTGTGGGTCACTACCCCTTTGGGGGTCGAACGACCCTTTCACGGGGGTCGCTAAGACCATTGGAAAACCCACATACAACATGAGGAACTGTGTGAAAGGGTCACGACATTAGGAAGGTTGAGGACCACTGTTCTAGATGATAGAGACACTCTGAATGATAAAATTCGAATCCTGAAATGTTGGAACTTTCAATGCACTGCAGTAGTTTTAGTATGTGACTATCCTAGACAATGTAGGATGGTTCAGAATGATAACATTGGTTTGAAGCAAAGAACAAAAATCTGAATTTTGCTTTTTTTTTTGTTTTTTTAATGTTTTCCTTGATTTTTAGAGAGGGGAGAGGGAGAGATAGAAACATAAATTGGCTGCCTCTTGCACACCCGGCATCGGGGATCGAGCCCACAACCTGGGCATGTGTCCTGACCAGGAATCGAACCAACAACCTCTTGGTGCATGGGTTGACACTCAATCACTGAGCCACACTGGCAAGGCTGGATTTTTCTTAAGCATTGTAGTTGATGCCAGTGAAGGTTGTCCAGAGCCCAGATTATGATAAATATTTTTTTTGGATTTGTAGTCAGAATACAAAGATATATTTATAATTTTCTTAGTATAAAGCAAATAACATGGTAACTGTATTATAATATCTTATACATTTAATATTCAGTTTTTACTTTTTTTATCACTGGTTTTATAGATTTTTACCTTATTTTATTTATTTATTTTGCTTAAACAACGGAAATTTATTGTCTCACAGTTCTGGAGCCTAGAAGTCCAAAATCAAGATGTCTGTAGGGGTGGTTCCTACTCTGTGAGGGAAGGGTCTGTTCCATACCTCTCTCCTTGGCTTGTAGATGATGGTCTTCTGTGTTTCTTCACCTCATCTTCCATTATGCATGTGTGTTTCTTTGTCTAAATTTCCTTTTTGTGAGGACACTAGTCCTGTTTGATTAGAATTCACCCAAGTGACCCCATTTTAGTTTGATTACCTCTGTAAAGACCCTGTCTCCAAATTAGGTCACATTCTGAGGTACTAGGGATTAGGATTACCATATAACTCTTTTGAGGGGCACAATTCAACCCATATCAGTAACTTTTCTGCTGCATAAGCCTCCCATTTCCCACAAACTAAAGGCCAGCTCCTTCCTGTGGCTTCTTGTGGCTTCCTGAGCTTCCTGTGATGTGGCTTCTGCTGACCTCTGCAGCTTATCTCTTACCTCCCTCTCTGCCCTCTTGAATTCTGTGCTCCAAGGCATTTCTTGCTTCTTGCTTTAGGGACTTACTATTCCATCTGCCTGAAATGCCCATTCTCCCTATCTCTTAGTCCTGGTGATTTGTCCTCACCTTTCAGACTCAAATTAGGTAATTACATCCTTTCAGAAGCCTGGCCTGCCATTCTACCAGTTCTGGATTAGGCACCTCTCTTGCACACACAATGTGGAACTGAATCTTAGTACTTACAACACTGTATTCCTCACTGTACTGTGAGCTGCCCAAGTATGAGATCTGCGTCTGGTTTTTTGTTGTATCCACACACCTTAACACCCGAGTGGTACCTGGAATAACCCCCTGATAAATATTTGTGGAAGTGAAAAAATGCCTAGATGGTAATTTAGGATTTTGAATAGATATAAGAAAAATATAGTAGATCTCAACTTGCTGTCTAAAAATCAGCACTTTATTTAATTCACTGGAGGTGGGGCAGAGACCCCCACCTCCCATCCCCAGGAATGGCATGAGCCATCTCTCCTGGAAGGTACCTCTTGGTTTTTTATTGCTTCATTGAATACAGACTCACAGGGGCTCTGCACTGGAGAAACTTCTAGAGACTATGTAGTCCAGCACCCTCATTTTATTTATTTTTTATTTAAACATTTTTTTTTTTATCCTCACCTGAGGACATTTTTCGATATTTTGTTCAGATAGAGTGGGAGGTAGAGAGAAAGAGAAACATCAACGTGAAAGGGACACATCGAGTGGTCGCCACCCGCACGACCCAACCAGGGCCGGGGACAAACTGCAACTGAGGTACGTGCTCTTAGCGGGAACCGAACCCGGGTCTCTCGGGACCACAGGCCTACGCTCTAACCGCTGAGCCAAACCGGCCAGGGCCAACACCCTCATTTTAAAGAAGGGAGAAACTGAGCCCAGTGGGAGGAAGGGACTTAATTATCATGACTTTTTTTTTTTCCATTTTGGGAAAAACATCTTTTTTTTTTTTTTAATTGAGATGTAATTGACATATAACATTATATTCGTTTCAGGTATATAGTTATTCAATATTTGTATATATTGTAAAATGATCACCACAATAAGTGTAGTTAATTTCAATCACACACATAATGGTTTTCCTTGTGATGAGAACTTTTAAGATCTATTCTCTTAGCTTTCAAATGTACAATACAGTATGATTAACTGTAGTCACCATACTGTACATTAATCCCCTTTAAAAAAATGAATGAGTCCTGGCCAGTTTTGCTCAGCGGTTAGAGCATCGACCTGCGGTCCAGAGAGACCTGGGTTCGGTCCCACTAAGGGCACGTACCTTGGTTGCAGTTTGTCCCTGGCTCTGGTTGGGTTGTGTGGGTGGCAGCCACTTGATATGTCCCTTTCACGTCAATGTTTCTCTCTCTCTTCTCTTCCTCTCTCTCCCTCCTACTCTATCTGAACAAAAAAATGGAAAAATGTCCTCAGGTGAAGATAAAAAAAAAAGAGAGAAATTTTCTCCACATACTCTATTAAAATATGACTACTACCTAAACATTTTTTGTTTTTATCCTTACCTGAGGACATTCTTGCATTTTTATTTTCAGATAGAGTGGGAGGGAGAGAGGGAAGGAGAGAGAGAGAGAGAGAAACATCCATGTGAGAGAGACACATCGAGTGGTTGCCACCTGCACAACCCCAGCCGGGGCCAGGGACATACTGCAACTGAGGTACTCGCCCTTAGTGGGAACTGAACCCAGGACTCTCTGGTCCACGGGCCGACACTCTAACCACTGAGCAAAACTGGCCAGGGCCTACCTAAACGTTTAGAAATGAGAAAAGGAAGAAAAAGGAGTTGTTCTTCCACATTATATATAAACAATTACTGTTAACATTCAGGGAATTTTCTAATAGGCTTTTTTCTGGGCTATTTACTAGTTTTTTACATAGTTGTGATCTTTAAGAACTGCATAATATCAGGGAGTCGTATACTCTATTAACTCTGGCATTCTCCAACTATTGGACGTTTATTTACATTGTTTCCATTTTTTTGGTTACAATTGCTGTTTCTTATACTGAGATAAACATTTCCTATAAACATAATCATATGAACTGATTCATTTTCTTCCATATTATTTTACTGTTTAGGCTAGATATTATACTTGTTTGTAAATATCTGCTTTCTGCGAAGCAGGAGACATTTTTATAGACACTGAATTGATCATTCTTCTTCCCACACCTTTTAAAGTCAAGAACCCTCCTTAGCACTAGCACTGGTTTTATGGTTTCTGCAAGACATTCCATATAATTTGTCTTTTTTCTTTTTTTCATGATTTTCTTCATTTCCTATAGTTCTGCAGCAACTCCTGCATTAAATCTTTTCTGGCAAGTCCAGCGCAGACTGATCTTTCTTCTCTTCATGTCATTCTGGATTTTGTAACCTTTGATTTGACATCATCTATTTAGATTTACAATTTTATGTTGTTCTTAGTACTATTAGTAGTAGTAGTTATCCTCACCTGAGGATATTTTTCTTTTTTTTTTTATAAGCCTTGTCAAAACAAGACCACCAAAAATTAGGTTGCCTCCCCCAGAAAAGTGGGAGAGAGAGAGGATGAGGAGATTTTTCCATTTATCTTTAGATAGAGTGGGAGGGGGAGAGAGAGAGAAACATCAATGCAAGAGAGACACATCAATTGGCTGCCTCTCACACGACCCCGACCAGGGCCAGGGCTCGAACTGCAACTGAAGTACGTGCCCTTGACTGGAATCGAACCCACGACTCTGGTCTGGGGGGCTGACACACCAACCGCTGAGCCAAACCAGCCAAGGCAATAAAAACATTTATTAAAGCCCTGGCCAGTTTTGCTCAGTGGTTAGAACTAAGTGAAAAGAATTCTGAAGACAGACACTATCAGCAGTCTGGGAAGGTCCAGGGACACTATAAAAGAATTCCTAAGATAGCAGTGTAGGTACAAATAGATGCTCCTTAGTTGCCCTATAAGGAGCTATAAGGAACAGTAAGAAAAACTCTGAACAGGGCATCAGCAAAGCTGGGTTTCACATTTGAGCATAACCAGCTGCACAATATAAGCCAAGAGGCTTAACCTCTTCCTCTGTCCCCGATCCCTAACTATAAAATGAGATAGATGTTCTAAATGTTCCCAAAGTTTCCTTTCTCTTCAACAATTTTCTCATTTCAGTGAATTTATAGGTAAAACTGGTTTATCATCTAAATTCTAAACACATCAATTAGAACAAACTGGGTAATTGATTTGTATACTTTAAAAGACGTAAATGAGCCCTGGCCAACTTGGCTCAGCAGTTAGAGGGGTCGACCTATGGACCTAAGGGTCATGAGTTCAATTTCCTGTCAAGGGTATATACCTGGGTTACAGGTTTGATTCCCTGCCCCAGTCAGGGTCGTGCGGGAGCAGCCAGTTGATGTGTTTTTCTCACATTGATGTTTCTCTCTCCCTCCTTCCCTCCCTTCCACTCTATCAAAAAATTAATGGGGGCCCTGGCCAGTTTGGCTCAGCGGTTAAAGCGTCGGCCTGCGGTCCAGAGAGACCCGGGTTCGGTTCTCGCTAAGGGCACGTACTTCGGTTGCAGTTTGTCCCCGGCCCTGGTTGGTTGTGCGGGTGGCAGCCACTCAATGTGTCCCTTCACGTCGATGTTTCTCTCTCTCTCTCCCTTCCTCTCTCTCCCTCCCACTCTATCTGTACAAAAAATGGAAAAATATCCTCGGGTGAGGATAAAAAAAAAAAAAAATTAATGGGGGAAAAATCCTCTGATGAGGATTAACAAAAATAAATAAATAAATGAAGTAAATGAGAAATTAAAAATTATTTTGTGGTATGATTGCATATTAAAATACTATGTTTTGCTAAGTTTCTTTATCTTACTGTTTTATGATAACTCTATTTAAAATGTCTGTAGAATTTGGCTACTTACACTTAGTTTTATTTCTACAGGGATTTGAGGCTACTCCAGTACCATTTAAGGTATTTTTTTTTAATTTCTTCATTTTAATTATATATTTTTCAATTTTTATATTTTCCAGATGGTTATCCAAATGCAAATCCAGTCCAGGTTTCAATAGCAACAGTTTTTCTTTTCTTCAACAAAGAGTGGAGAATGGAGACCAGCAATATCAATATTGTTCACTGATAATAAAGGGTATATCTCTCAAGCAACAGCTTCAGTGGGACCCCAGCAGTCAACATTTGCAAGGGTTTATGGACTTTGGTCTTGGCAAACTTGATGCTGATGAAATGCCACTTGCCTCAGAAACTGTTTTGTTAATGGCAGTGGGTATTTGTGGTCATTGGAGAACACCTCTTGGTTATTTTTTTGTAAACAGAGCATCTGGATATTTGCAGGCTCAGCTGCTTCGTCTCACTGTTGGCAAACTGAGTGACATAGGGATCACAGTTGTGGCCGTTACATCTGATGCTACAGCTCACAGTGTTCAGATGGCAAAAGCACTGGGGATACATATCGATGGAGACAACATGAAGTGCACATTTCAGCATCCTTCATCTTCTAGTCAGCAGATTGCATACTTTTTTGATTCTTGCCACTTGCTTAGATTAATAAGAAATGCATTTCAGAGTTTTCAAAGCATTCAGTTTATTAATGGCACAGCACATTGGCAGCACCTTGTGGAGTTAGTAGCACTAGAGGAACAGGAATTATCAAACATGGAAAGAATCCCAAGAAAACTTGCAAATTTGAAAAACCACATACTGAAAATGAATTCAGCTGCCCAACTCTTCACTGAGAGTGTGGCCAGTGCGTTAGAATGTTTGCTGTCGTTAGGCCTGCCTCCTTTTCAAAAATGTATTGGTACCATCCATTTTTTACGCTTAATTAATAATCTGTTTGACATTTTTAATAGTAGGAACTATTATGGAAAGGGACTTAAAGGACCTCTAATGCCTGAAACGTTTAGTAAAATTAATCACGTGTTAACTGAAGCCAAGACGATTTTTGTTACATTATCTGACACTAGCAATAATCAAATAATTAAAGGTAAGCGAAAACTAGGATTCCTGGGATTTTTGCTTAATGCTGAGAGTTTAAAATGGCTCTATCATAATTATATTTTCCCAAAAGTAATGCCTTTTCCATATCTTCTGACTTACAAATTCAGTCAAGATCATCTGGAATTATTTCTAAAGATGCTTAGACAGATATTAGCAAGCAGTTCTAACCCTACCTGCATGGCATTCCAGAAGGCTTACCATAATTTGGAGACCAGATACAGATTACATGATGAAGTTTTTCTAAGTGACCTGAGCATCCTTGACATTTCAGTTGCTCGAAGGACAGACTTGGCCCTTTGGACAGTTCAACGTCAATATGGTGTCAGCATATTAAAGACTCTTTTTCACAAAAAGGATATTTGCCAAGACTGGTCTAATTGTTCACTAAGTGAGGCATTACTAGATCTGTCAGATTATAGGCGAAATCTCACCTGTTGTGCTGGTTATATTGCAGATAAGTTATCAGCTCTTTTAACTTGTGAGGACTGCATCAGTGCACTGTATGCATCAGATCTCAAAACCTGTAAAATTGGGTCACTGTTGTGTGTCAAAAAGAAGAATGGTTTGCATATCCCTTCAGAAAGTTTATGTCGAGTCATAAGTATCTGTGAGCGAGTTGTAAGAACCCATTCAAGAATGGCAGTTTATGAACGACTTCCTAAACAGAGGGAATTGTATCTTCAACAGGAAATACTATGTGCGCTTTCTGGACATATTTATCTTTTTGTAGATTTAGATGAGCATCTCTTTGATGGAGAAGTGTGTGCCATCAATCACTTTGTAAAGTTACTAAAGGACATAATAATCTGTTTCTTAAAGTTGAAAGCTAAAGATATAGCTCATTTCCCTATAAAACACCATTCAGAAAGACTTGAAATGAAAATCTCAAGGAAGCACTGCTCATCATTACAGGATTACAAACATTCAAGTTTTGCTAATACCAATAATTCCAGGCTTCTGCTAAGTAACGGATATCCATTCAAATGAGGGGCCTAAAATATTAAAATTTATATTAAGGATTATTGGTCAATACTTATTTTAAAGTTCAACCATACTATCTAAATTGACTATTCTGCACAATGGACAAGTTTGCAGTTCTGACTTAGAATTTATAATTTGCATATTATAAAGTCTGCTCAAACTTTGGTATGGCTTGCAGCATTTCAGAGTTACCAACTTGTATAAAGCACTTAAGAGCAGACTAGCCAAGAGGTGGTGTCTTTGAATTTACTACTATAAGACTGAATAATGTTACTGGATATAATTTTAACTTGTTCAGTCTGCTTTAAAAACGAGAGAATAAAAACTAGGAGAGAATAACAGAAGGAGTCACCAATACATTGACTCCTTTTACAAATAGACTACATTCCTTAAAAGAGCTTTGTTTTACAGCTCTTAAGAATGTTGACAGAATACCTATAAAACCTTGAATTTTACTTGTGGAAATTAAGGTGTCTTTTGATAATTAGATTAAATTAAAATATCACGTGCCACAAAGTCCCTTTGCCCCAGGGTACCCTAAAATAGAAGTACTTATGCTTTATCAGCAGAAGGTAAACACATGAGCCAGGAGATGTTTCCTTTGTTGCAATGAGCTGGGGGAATGTAGTTTGGGGGAAGTATGCAGTTGATGTAATTTTCATGATCCATTGTCTCTGGACTTCGAAATACTACTTTTGAGTAATAGAGTGGATACTTACTTGACTCCTATTGGAAGAGCCCATGGCTCCTCAGCGAATGAGAAGAAGCCTTTATTTCAGTTTCTGCTCCTTCTGAAGTCTACTTGTGTTTACAGGGAGGCTAAAATAATGAAACATATTTTATTGTTGAATGAATAATGGAATTTTATAGCATGTGAGTAATAAATTGGAACGATATGGTCACTTGAGGCAACAGGTATGAAAATTTGTCTTCATTATATAACCCTGGTCAGTTTGACTCAGCAGTTAAAGCATCGTTCTGAGGACTGAAGAGGCTCAGGTTCTATTCCAGTCAAGGGCATGTACCTCAGTTGCGGTTTCTCCCCAGCCCTGGTCGGGTCATGCGGGAGGCAGCCAATCCATGTCTCTCTCACATTCATGTTTCTCCCCCTCTCCCTCAATCTATCTGATGATAAATAGAAAAATATCCTTGGGTGAGGATTAAAAATAAGTAAAAAAAAGGGGGGGGGGGCACACACCTGGGCTGCAGGTTCGATCCCCTGCCCTGGTCCGGGTTGTGTGGAAGACAATCAATCAATGTATCTCTCTCTCCCTCCCTCCCACTCTCTAACAAAAAATAAATGGAAAAATATCCTGGAGTGAGGGGTAACAAAATTTCAAAAACCATTACATAAGTTTTACAGAAATTTAAGAGAAACTTAAATACAAAGATGGAAACAAGGGCAATTTTCTCTTCTCTCAAACCTAGATTTGAAAAAATAAGAAAAAAATAGATATATGTACTTTCACAAATGGGAGTATTTTATTTAGAATTTTTTTCTTTATTGATTTTAGAGAGAGGGTAAGGGAGAGGGAGAGATAGAAACATTGATTGGCTGCCTCCTGCATGCTCCCCACTGGGGATGTGGCCCACAACTTGGGCATGTGCCCTGACCAGGAATTGAACTAGCGACTTCTTGGTGCATGGCTAAGACCCTCAACCACTGAGCCACACCAGCCAGGTGCAAATGGGAGTATTTTAGTAGATAAAAGAAATGGACATATTCACCTGTGTATGTAAAATATCTACTCTGTTATTAAGTACAGTTAATCTTAATATGAAAACTGAAAATTGCAAAAGATTAATTACTAAGTAAAAGTTGAGTTTCATTAATTGAAATGTACCCTAAATAGTATATTTTGATATTTTTCTGTATTTGTTCTACCTCAAACTAAGTTTTCAAATGTAATCAGAGTTGCACTACAATTTTTTATGAGAGCTATTGCTGAGAATTCTGAATATTGTGATTTTTGTTTTATTTGCAATAGAGTTTAGATTCAGCAGGATAAATCTATTTAACGGAAACCTGTTTGTAAGTCACCACCCTTAACTTATTACTTATATAAATCCAAGTTTTGTACCTGATCTTTACTTGAAACTAGGTTCAGTAGTGTCTTATGTTCTTTGCTATTACACTTGACTAATGTATTAATATATTCTGTATTTTAAGAAATTGGTGTTTTGCATTACTAAGTGCTGGATAAATTGGACAAACATTGAAGATAACATTTCCATTCCTGCCTTTAGCACAGTTAGTTGCTCTTGCCCTAGTGAAATGTGATATCAGATTTACTTGATATATGCTTTAGCAGTTTTTTAAAAAAATTTTTTTTCCTTTATTGATTTTAGAGAGAGAGGAAGGGAGAGAGAGATATAGAAACATCAATGAGCGAGAACATCAATTGGCCACCTCCTGCATGCCCCGCACTGGGGATTGGGCCTGCAATCTGGGCATGTGGAATTGAACAGGTGACTGCTCAACCACTGAGCCATGCTTGTAAGGCTGCTTTACAGTTTTTGTATTCATATTTAATTAGGGTTATTTAGTTTGTAAATTCTACTCAGCACCTTTGTCCATTTCTTCTTTGGAGAAAACTAACATCCCCTTCAGACATTTATCCTTCTTTTCAACAAGTAGTGCTGGAACAACTGGATATCACGTGCAAAAGTATTAACCCTTAATGGATCAAAAACCTAAATGTAAGAGGTAAAACTCTAATACTTTTAGAAGAAAAAAGAGCTGGGATGTAGATTAAGTGATAGTTTCTTAGCTATGACACCAAAAGTACCATCAACAAAAAATAAATTGATCTTTATCAAAATTAGAAACTTGTGCTTCAGAAGACATAATAAAGTAAGGCAACCCACAGAACAGGAGAAAACTTCTACAAATCATATTGTCTGATAAAGGATTTGTACCTAGAATATACAAAGAACCTTTATAACTCAATAATAAATGACAACCCAATATTTTTTTTTTTATCCTTACCCGTGGACATTTTTTCTATATTTTGTTCAGATAGAGTGGGGGGGGGGGGGGGCGGAGAAACATCGACGTGAAAGGGACACATCGAGTGGTTGCCACCCACAGGACCCAACCAGGGCCAGGGACAAACTGCAACCGAGGTATATGCCCTTAGCAGGAACCGAACCCGGGTCTCTCCAGACCGCAGGCCGACGCTCTAACCACTGAGCCAAACTGGCCAGGGCGACAACCCAATTTTAAAAGTAGGTAAAGACTATGAGTAGACATTTTTTCAAAGGAAATATATAGGGTCTCCCCCCAAAAATATATATACAACTTTTAATAATTATAAAGCCAGTGTTTATTAAAATACATTTCAGTTTCAAAATGTAATAGAATCTACAGATACCCTGTATACACTTTTTGGGGACACTGTACAAAGTGCCTATTAGCACATGAATATGTTTAACGTTAGCCATCTGGGAAATGCAAATCAAAACCACAATGGGATATTCATACCCACTAGGATAGTTGTAAGAAAAAAGATAAGCGTTGTCAAGAATGTGGAAAAATTGGAACCCTTACCTTATACACTGTTGGTGGGGATGCACACACTGGAAACCAGCTTGACAGTACTTCAAAAGGTTAAAAAGTTACCAAATGACATAACCATTCTACTAACAGGCATATATATCCAAGAGAAATTAAAAGATGTCCATGTAAAAACTTGTACACTAACTTTCTAACAATAGCTAAAAACAGAGTAGATACCCCACTGATGAATGATAAAAATGTGCTGTATTCATACAGTAGGTCACATGGTAAATGTCTATTTTACTTTATAACTAACTGCCAGAACTGTTTTTTACCAAGTGACTGTACCTCTCTGCATTTCGACCAGTAATACATGAAATTTTCAGTTGCTGTACTTCCTCCCCAGTACTTGGTTTTGTTTTGAATTAGCCCTATTGACATAGGTGTGCAGTGATACTTCATTGTGGCTCTAATTTTCCTAATAGCTAATAATGAGGAACATCTTTTTGTAGGCTTATTCGCCATCCACACACTTTTAGGTGAAATGTTTGTTCAAGTCTTTTGCCCATGTTTTAGAAGTTTTTTTTGTTTTTTGTTTTCTTATTGAGCATTACTTATATATTCTGGACATAAGTGCATTTTATCAGATGTGTTTTGCAAATATTTTCTCCTAGTCTGTGGCTTTTATTTCTTGGTGTGCTTTGAAGAGCAGACATTAATTTTATTAAGTTCAATTTACTGATTTTTTTTCTTTTAGGGATCATACTTTTAAGATCTAAGAAATCTTTGCCTAACTCAGTCACAGAGTTTTGCTTTTTGTTTTTTATCCTCACTGAGGACATTTTTTGATATTTTGTTCAGATAGAGTGGTAGGGGGAGAGAGAGAGAGAGAAACATCGACGTGAAAGGGACACATCGAGTGGTTGCCACCCGCACAACCCAACCAGGGCCAGGGACAAACTGCAACTGAGGTACGTGCCCTTAGCGGGAACCAAACCCAGGTCTCTCTGGACTGCAGGCCGACGCTCTAACCGCTGAGCAAAACTGGCCAGGGCTATTTACATTTTTATTTGCAATGCATTCATTTATTTGTTAATCCTCACCCGAGGATATTTTTCCATTGATGTTTAGATAGAGTGGAAAGGAGGGAAGGAGGGAGAGAGAGAAAGAAACATTGATGTGAGACACACATGAATCAGTTGCTTCCCACACAACCCAGACTGGGGCCAGATATCATACCTGCAACCCAACCCCGGTACATGCCCTTGACCAGGAATAGAACCTGAGACCATTCAGTCTGTGCGCTGATGTTCTAACCACTGAGCCAAACTGGCCAGGGCAATATTCACCCCTTTAAAGCATACAATTTAGTATATTCAAAAGGTTGTTTTCTGCAACTTTTGAGGATAATCACAAAGTTTTTCATTTGCATGTTGATAAATAACATTAAAAATATATATATTGGGTTAACCTTTTATTCCTGGGATAAATCCATCCTGGTCATGATGTATTGTTTTTATATACTGCCAGATTTTATTTGCTAATATAAATTAAAGAGTGACATTAAAGTCTTTGACCTTATAATAAACATTACCCTGGAATATACTTATTTTTTAAAAACTAAAATGCCTTAAATGCTTTCACAAAACTACTTAAACTAAAATTTTAATTTAAAGTTGTTTTTTTTAAATATTTATAACTTACATTTAATAAAACTACTTAGATCATAAAAAGTTCACATTTGGTCAACAGTCGAGACCAAATGAGCATTAAAGGAGCCCTAACAAGAAAAAAAAGACCTAAGTAACTTACATAAAACTACATAATAGAAAATAACTACATTAGTGAAAGCTTTCTAGTGATTAGCTCGTCTCTGTGTTGCTGCTACAAAATTCCTATATGAAGTGCTAAGGGAGGCAATATGATCACAGGTAGGGCTGGAGGTCCTGATTTGAAGCTGTATTTACATAACAGGTACTCTTAGCTACTTATGTTACAAAACAATAAAATAGAAGACTTTTCTAAAGGTATTTTTATTCACATTTTACATAAGAATTGAGCAAATACCAGTTGTCCACATCAAAGGATGGGGAGGCTAAAACAGTAGTCTGTCCCAGAAGTTGCTGCTCTGCTTGTTTTATTACCTGTAACATTAAGGTTCTGGTTCCCATATAGTCCAAAGACAAGACCTACAAGTTGCTTTTAGTTCTTGTAAGAGGGAGCTCACCATAGGAACATCAAACATAACAAAGAGTAGATTTTCTGCCCTTAAAAAAAAAAAAAAAAAAAAAAAAAAAGGAAAAAGAATGTCTCATTTCAAAGCAATTTATGTTAATGATAATTAGGCAAAATGATAGGCTTATTTTTTTAGTTGTATGCTTTCAAAAATAATGTTAAATTTACCTAAAATCAGATATGTTTAAAAGATTTCTTGCATGTTAAATGATTAAAAGTGGTGGTATTAAAGAAAATTGCAAAATCTTTTTTTTACAGAATAGTATAAATGTTTATTTTTTTGTATGATTTACTTTGCTGTCATGTTTTTACAATATAGAAAAGTGTATTCTTTGAATAGCTCTAGTAAATATAAATTTAATCTTTCTACTTTGGGATGTAAATAGAGCTAAAAAATTATATACCCAACCCTCCCCAAATAGTCTTTTAAAATTATTGAATTAATGTGGATATTAATCTTGTTCAGCAATTTGATGCAAATGCCTAAATACAAAAAGTTATTAAGTACTACACACAAAGGAAAAGGCTTAATACTTTAGCTTCTTGAAAATCAGAAAAACTAGTAGCATTTGATTACTCCTTCAAATTTTTACAAGCAAAACATTCTCAAGCAGTGCCGTCATACATAATCTATAATTGTAACCCAAATTTCACAAACATTTTCTGCACACGGTATATAAATACACATCACAAAGGTGCAATTAGAATTGAACACAGAATATGTACAAAATGAACAAAGTTTAGATTTAGACCAAAAAGGTAATCTTTTGAAAAATAACTTGATTAGATATTCTTTTATCCTCTTACACTAATTTACATTTATACAAATTTTAATTAAACACACTAGAGGTGCTAAGAATGCACTATCTACATTTAAAGTTTACTGCACTATAATTTTATAAATCCAAATTTCAATAGGAAGATATTTGAATGAATAACGGAATCTTCTTTTGGATTACTTAATTTCTATTGCCTATATCTTGTGTGTTCATATGAACATATATACACACTTAATACATACAACTATAGAGTCCTTGTAGGAAATGTAATAATCATACTAATAATTACTGAGGATTAAGGTACCTAACAAAATGCCTGAATTCCAGTATGTTTTTTTCTTGTCATAAAATCTTAAATTCATAAAGCTTTTGAATTTCTGAAAATGATTTAGGTTATTTTAATAATTATATGAAAACACTCATACCTTCTTCCACTTACCAAATCACTGGCTAAAAATAATGCTATCTTAAGCTTCCCTTATAAAAACAACAAAAAAATCACCCCAGTACAATTTTGACAGTTTTGTTGGGAGGCCCATTAGTAAATAAAATAAGTCATACATTGGTTTGAAACCTCTTAGTTCAAGTCTATAAAGGGAACTGTTTGTACAGATGAAATAACCTTCCTTACATTCATCTCTTAGAGCTTCAATATTTATTTCTCCATTCAAATCAACTTTTATACCTGATCATTATATAAGGTTCTGTTTTACTACTACTTAATATGTTTAGCTTCTATTTGTAGGAACCTTTCATTTTAATAGTACCCAGTAATCACTTGACAATTTATTATTTCAAATTCATACCACTTCCTTGAAAGAAAGTGAAAACATTCCAAAGCATTTCTTAGTCACTTGTTATAAAACATATCACCCATCCTTTGAGAATTTACTAACCCTTAATATTTTATATGGTTTTTAAAAATAAAAAAAAATAATAACTTTTAAAAGTGTGCCTATGGATTACTTCCCCTTCTGATATTCCAAAAGCACAATGGGATATTATTCTACAATCTACCCTAAAAAGTCTATTTTTCTTTAAAAAGATAGTGCTTTCTAAACACAATGTTATTGGAATATGTTTCATAAGAATTTGTTTATGTAGACGTTCTATCTACTTATATTCTAGGTCTAGTACCAGAGAATGAGTAATACCAATGCTGCTTTGGCTTTTTCTACTGAACAAAGTCATACAACGCCATACATTATAAATTATAGTAATTTATAAATGTTCTTGGAGTCAGAGGATAGAACATCTAATTCTTAAGAAACACAAATTAAAAAGCTATATAATACAATAAAGAAAAATTCAATTTAGAAGGGGCATAAGCCGATTTAACTAAGATTTAAAATGTACTAATTTCCTCATTTAAGATTTCTTCTCAATATTATAATTTCAGGTCTCACAATGACTGAATTAACAATACAATAATTGTTAAACTATCTTCTAGAAAAGTGTCCCTGCACCTTCAATTTTCTGTACAGTTCCATTTATCTTTTGTGCAAGAGTTAGCAATTCATAGCACAAGGGTCACTTTTTGCTTTTCCTGCAGAGTTGATGACGCTCATTAAACATCGTCCGAATTCCTCAAGTATCATCCGTTCAGCTGCTGCCTTTGATTTCCCCTTCTTGTCCGCCTGCTCAGCCTGGGCAAGAAGGCAATTACACGTGGCTTCAGCTACTTCCTTAGTTACAAATGTAAATGGCAATCTGAAATAATTTTAGAGAAAGAAAAAGAGATGATAATGGTGCTGAATAACTACAAAAGTGGATGACACTGTTTCACTTGGAAATCTGTTGACATTTTCATGATCTACCAGCACACTGAACATCACAGTTTATGAAACGAGCATAAGCACATCCTAAAGAGCTTTAAACAGGCCTGGTTTTATGAGTGAGCATATTTTAAAAATATTGTTCAGAAAATATAACAGTTTACATAAAATGTCTTCTTACCTAGACAAAGTTATCTAAATAAAAGATGTAATTCTACATATTGACTTGATATTTCTATAACAAAAGTCCTCCCAATTCATGAATACGAAAGCTCCACAAGTGTAGTCTCTGTTCTATTTACCGCTGTTCCTCACTGTCTAGAACAGTGCCTGTCACAGAGACACTCCAAGAATACTTGCTGAATGAAAAAATGAATTACTGGGAATCGAACGCACTATCTCCTGGACAACACTAAAAATAAAGTACTTTCCCATATTTCCATATATTTGTAAAAAAATCAAGCACCTCCAAATTTTGCATTGTTCTATCACAACCAACAAAACAACAGGGAGTGTTATTCTGTACACGGAGTTTCATTTATATCCGAACGAATCCATCCTGAGGCTTGCTATGTGTGAGCAAGTGTTAAAAGCGTTCAGGAGATAAAACTGAGCAACCTAATCTAACCACTAAATCAGCAATTTGTAAGCAGTCACTGAGAGGAGGAAACTGAAAAAAAAAAAGGAAGTCTTTAATGAAAGCCCTCCCTGACAAGAGAATAATTCAGGATTTAGCTTGCTATACATTTGTACAGAAATCTTTAAAATACAAAAAGTACTTTAAATGAGACAATATTATATTATAATCATGTTAATATTACAATAATAAATAATTAGTAATATTGTGTAAAGGTAATGCTCATTATATCATATTTGGAAAGTAGAAAAGTAAAAGGGAAGAAAAATCCAAACTTTTGCCACAAAGATGAATGTTACATGCTGGCATAACATTTTTAATAGTTTTATTTTTTTACATAGTTTTGATTATAGTGTATAATTTTGTGTTCTTTTACACTTCATAATGTAAATGAATTGGAAAATTAATTGTAAATATTTGAGTGTAGCAATATCTTTAATCTCCGGATGGAGATTAGATTTAATATTCTGAAGGATTACTGAAAGCAGATGACCAGAGAGGATCCCTTATTAAGGTGTCTACCCATTTCCACTTTATTCAGTTAAGAACCATTTGCTGATTATATTACAGTTGTAAGAGTTCTTTAGAACTAATATCTGAAATAAAAGAAGTCTTAATTTATAAGCATTGGATCTTATTTCAATTTAGGCATTTTAAATGATATACCATTTGCAAGGCTCATTCCATTTAATAATTCCTCAAATTAATCTCTCACCAACTGTCTAATATAAATTCAAGTCAGCAAACTTGTTAAATCAGGCTCTGCCAAATGCTGCAACAGAGATGCTTTTCTCCTCACAGCCACATGGTAAGGGTGACTTAAAGGCTAAGAAAACAGGCTGAGAGAGATGAAGTTCTTGCTGAATTCACAAACTACTACAGAGCACAGATAGTGTTTCAACTCAGGTCGGCCTGACTTGAAATGAAACTCCAGCTTTTCTACTCCAGAGCTCAGCAGTCTAGTCAGAAAAGGAGCTACGACAATCTAGTATGTGACGGGTGCTAAGGGGACATGGAAAAGGCAAAAGAAGGGAATATGATGAAAAAGGGGCCACATGCTAAACCTGACAAGCTCAGGGGAGGCCGACATTACAAACTCAGAGACCTAAAGTAACCTCATACGATAGTTTGAAATTAAAACTTTCTAATTAAAATCTAGTCATGGCCATTGGACCTGTCCAAGGCCTGTATCCTTCTTGACAAAGGTCAATCTTTACCTTAACTGAGCCTGTCTATTGTCTTTTTGCATCGATGTTAACAAACATTTGGAATGTCAGGGTCATTTCCTTTTTCTAGACCCCTCAGGACACAATCTCCAACCAGAATAAGGAGACCACAGAGCCCCGCACTGTTACTGTTATCCTGTTAAATGTCAACTGTTAACTATCCTATACCCACCTATGTAAAAAAAAGTGTGTGTGTCTATTTGTTTTACTTTTCATCCAATACCAGAGATTCCAGAGATTTCCCTGCTTTGCTTTCTCCCATCTACCTAATCTCTCACCAATGAATTTCATAACCTCCTTAGGCCTCCTCCTTTGATTGCAATGTATAAAATAAGGTGTAAAACTACCAATCTCTGAAGCATTTTCTCAATCCCTTGAGATTTTGCTTCCCAGCAACTATCCTCGGTTTGGCTCAAATAAACTCATAAAAATTCTTACAGGTTTGGAAGTTTCCTAAATTAACAGAAATAAAGTACAAAAATATGGATAATGGCACAACCAATAAGAAATATGAAAAATCTAGTTTTCTTAGACATTTGTCAAATTACATAAGTGCTCATCTTAATAGGGAGAAAACCAATGAAATTAAAGTAGAGTGAACTAAAGCAGTACTGTGCATTTTAGAACCCTGCAATGTATGTGACAGTGGTTTTCCCGTTGCCTTTTTTTTTTAAGTTTTTTCTATCCTCATCCGAGGACATTTTGCATTTATCTTCAGACAGAGTGGGAGGGAGAGAGGAGGGAAGAGAGAGAGCGAAACATGGACGTGAGAGAGACACATCGAGTGGTTGCCACCTGCACAACCCCAACCGAGGCTGGGGACAAACTGCAACTGAGGTACATGCCCTTAGCGGGAACCCAACCCAGGACTCTCTGGTCCACAGGCCGACGCTCTAACCGCTGAGCCAAACCGGCCAGGGCTTTCTGTTGCCTTTAAATTCCTTTATAACAAGTAACTAAAACAGAAAGAAAATGAAAAAATTAGATTTACAACAACCAAAAGTATGAACTCAATTGTCCAACAAGAAAAACTTTACCAAAAATGAATAATCATGTTATGCTATAAAGAGATGAAACAGTTGACTTACTTTCCTCCTCCGCTATTCAAAGCTGGTGTTGGCCTAGTAAGCAAGTCCGAAATTTGAGAGGATAACTTAGTCTTCGCCGCAGTTTGTTGCTGCACCCTTACTTCAGCTGCATCTGCCAAGTGCATCAGTGTCTTCCTTTCTGGGCTTTCTTCAAAATTCTTACAGCCAATACATTTGCATATTGAGGAACACATTATTTTTGCCTAAAAGATTTACGAAAGAAAAGCTTCCAAATCAAAACCAAAACAAATTACTATAGGCTCCAGGATCAAATCAATAGATAACAGAATTAACTGGTCAACTGACATAAGATAAAGTGGAAACATCTCTTGCTGATGACAAACACTAAGTGGGCTAACTACCCATGTGGATAGGTCGGTCTGAGAGTAGCTATGCAATGTTTGTGTTTGAGCCTTTTCACATCATTTCCCCCCAGTATAGATTTTCCTGCTGGTATGAAAAACATGTTCTTTATAAAGAATATGAATAATACATTACAACATTTTAAAAAAAGGCTCATCCAGAATTGAACTACCTCAATCAAGTCATCATTAACATGTTGGTGACCTCCCACGAAAGGAATTTCATAGATGCTATTTTTATTATGGCTATCTCCCTCCCTGAATCCCCTCCCCAGATTCCTCAAACCCTTTAACAGCCCATATTAAATCAGTATGTCCTCTCATCAAAAAATATGTAAAAAATTGCCCGGCTGGTGTAGCTCAGTGGTTGAGCATCAACCCATGCACCAAGAGGTCCAGTGGTTGGATTCCCAGACAGGGCACAAACCCAGGTTGTGGGCCCAGGAGTTAGCTAATTGATGTTCTCGCTCATCGATGTTTCTTTCTCTCTCTCCCTCTCCCTTCCTCCCTAAGAGCAATAAAGAAAAAAAAAATTTTTAATGTGTAAAATATATGTATATTGATGAAAAACATAGATCTTATGAACATACACATATATTAACTCACAAATCCAAGAGTCTTTCATTGTTTAGTTTTGTTTTACAAATTCATATTCCCACTTTTCGGTATCTTTCTTTTCTTACACTATGCCTGAAGGAATCCCTCCTTCCAAGTCATCTAGCATAGACTGAATTCATTCTGAAAGGGGCGAGAGAGAATAACAGAATAATGGAGAACTGATCATAGTGGGGGTGCTAGCCATAGTTATAAGAAATGTTGAACATCCCTGCTCTGTTAATCATGATTGCTTTGTTCTGATTAAAGAAAGCCCATTCTGACCTGGCTGGGAGCTGTATGCCCTCCGAGTTTACTTCGGGAATGCTGTCCATTCCCCTACCTGAGAACTGCCCCCACCCCCATCACGGAAAGACTGGCAACCTTGGCGTCTTGGAGGCAGTGCACTGGAGACAGCCCACATTTCCCAGCTCCCATTACTTCTCTGTGTCTGAAACCTGTACCTGTTTTAGCCATTGTTATTCCCTTTGCCTACTTCCCCAACCATTTTACCCACTGACATTCCCTTTGCCTACTTCCCCATGTAATACCCAATATAAACCACTGGGTACCAAGGGAGTGGAGTATAGATTTTTGCAAGATGACCCAGCTGTTCTCCCAAACTGCTGGCAATATTGGAATAAATGCTCATATACAATTCAACCTTGTCTCTGCTTAATTGGCTCAAGTAGTCACAGGCGGCCTGGACCCACTGTTGTCCAGTTTCAATTCTATTTAATGGCTGGGTATTAGGTATTAATCCCTGGTATGGATGGGGCACATCTTATTTGGGCATTCACTCCCCTATCGATGGGCATATTTTTCCAGCTATTGAGTACCACAAACAATACACAAAAAGATTTTTTTTATATATTATATATATATATTTTTTAACCTCACCCAAGGACAGTTTTTGATATTTTGTTCAAGTAGAGTGGGAGGGGGGGAGAGAGAGAAAAAACATCGACGTTAAAGGGACACATCGAGTGGTCGCCACCCACACGACCCAATCAGGGCTGGGGACAAACTGCAACCGAGGTACGTGCTCTTGGCAGGAACCGAACCCGGGTCTCTCCAGACCACAGGCCAATGCTCTACCTCTGAGCAAAACCGGCCAGGGCTGTATATATTATATTTTTATTTCTACAGAATATATGGCCTGAAAAGTGACCACATGCTAATCTGATAAGCTCAGGGAAGGCCTTCGAAGCAGCCTTGCAAACTCAGAGACCTAAAATAACCACAAAGGATGGTCTGAAATAAAAACTTTTTAATTAAGCCCTGGCCAGTTTGGCTCAGCGGTTGGAGCATCAGCCTGCGGACCAGAAACTCCGGGTTCGGTTCCTGCTAGGGACATGTACCAAAAACAAAAACTCTTTTTTTTTTTTTTTTATCCTCACCCGAGGACATTTTTCCATTTTTTGTTCAGGTAGAGTGGGAGGGAGAGAGAGAGAGAGAAACATCGATGTGAAAGGAACTCATCGAGTGGCTGCCACCCGCACGACCTACCAGGGCCGGGGACAAACTGCAACCGAGGTACGCGTCCTTAGCGGGAACCGAACCCGGGTCTCTCAGGACCGCAGGCCGACGCTCTAACCGCTGAGCCAAACCGGCCAGGGCCAAAAACTTTTTAATTAAAAGCAGTTTATGGCAGATAGTTATATCCTAAGCTAGAATCTTCCCTGATAAAAGTCAATCTTTACCTCAACTGAGCCTGTCTATTGTCTTTTGCACCTAAGATAACATATCTTTGATGTCATAACTTTCCTTTTTCCAGACCCCTCAGGGCACAAAAAATGCACCAGAGCAGAAACTATAAATCCTATAATTGTTATTTTTTATCCTGTTAACTGCTGATTATTAACTATGTATAAGATCTATATGTCTATCATTTTACTTTTTATCCAATCCCCAAGGTCAATCTATCACCAATGGATTTCATGTAATCCACTTAGTCTTCTCTTGACTGTAATGTATAAAATAGGTGCAAAAGTGACATTCTCTGGAGCATTTTCTCAATTCTCTGAGATTCTGCTTCCCTGCAATTTTCATCAGTTTGACTGGAATAAACTCACAATAATTCTTCACAGGTTTGAATGTTTCTTACATTGATGGATAGATTTCTATTCTAGAATTGGGATCAATGGTCAAAGGGTACATATATTTCAATTTTAATAGATGTGGCCAGACTATTCTTTCAAAAGGCTGACACCACACCTTATCAGCAATGTATAAAGGAAGCCTTTCCTACATTCCCTCCAACAACATATATTATAGCTCTTTTATTTTTATTTTAAATTTATTTATTTTTATTGATTTTAGAGAGAGAAGGAGTGAGAGGGAGAGAGAGCTGGAAACATCGATGAGAGAGAACATCGATTGGCTGCCTCCTGCATGCCCCCCACTGGGGAGTTGGCCCACAACCTGGGCATGTGCCCTGACCTGGAATCGAACCAGCGACCTCTTGGTGCATGGGTCGATGCTCAACCACTGAGCCACACCGGCCAGGAAATTATAGCTCTTTTAATATTTACCAGGAAAAAATAAAGTGAGATATCACTGTTCTTTAATTTACATTTCATAGTAAATTTGAGTATCTTTTGTTGGCTGCATTTTCTTCAGTGAACCCATGTCAATTTAAATAAATAATTGATTTCTCTCCATAACACCTATCAAGATAAACAGATCATATTATTAACACATGTACTCTGCTCCTTTTTTACAATACACTAATAAATTCCATTTACCAAGGGGAAAAAATGGATATACATTTTGAGTTAATTGGGTTACTATAAGCCAGTCTGGGACTCTCTACCTAAAACAAGACTTAGAAGAAGAAGTATCTAAAGATGAAGAGATAAAATCCTGAGGGTTGGGGGTGGGGCTCAGACATACCAATAATGTGTATCTGCATTAAGTATGGTTTTAAGAACCGTAAGAAAGGTACTAATATTTAACAGGAACTCGGGCGGGGGGGTGGGGGTCGGGGGGGGGGGGGGATAGAAATTAGAATGACAAGGTATCTATTTGGCTTTGCTAATTCAACTTTTTTTGTGGTCCAAAAAAAAGGGGAAGGGGAAGGGAAAAGGTCCCAAGAAAAGGCACAACCATTTAAATAATGTGGACAGTCACTCATCCAATCAACAAGCTCTGTGAAAGGAATATAAATGTTATGTAGAATCAGACCAACTGGACCAAAAAAAAAAAAAAGCCAGTTCAGTTCAAAAGACCAACAATTCAACACAAACTGTCAGACGATGTCACAGCTAATTCATAGCGATGCAATTAGCCACTGCTAGTCATAGTTTAGTATATTCCAAGTTTTTTATTTCTTAGTATTTTATTTTATCATTATTTTTAAAATATATTTTTATTGATTTTTTTAGGGAGAGAAACATCGATGTGAGAAACATCAATCAGCTGCCTCCTGCATGCCCCCTACTGGGGATTGAGCCCGCAACCCGGGCAATGTGCCCTGACTAGGACCTCTGAGTCCATGGGACAATGCTCAGTCCACTGAACCACACAATACTATTTCTTAGTATTTTAGAACAACAAATTAGACACTGTATATATCCTGAATGTCAAGGATTTTATTATAATAGGGCAGTTTTATGTCTTCTAACATATTTTAGTCTACTGCCTTTTCTACTTCTACTGATTCACAGATCTGTTAACCAGTTCAATTATTAGTTCACATGTTTGAATTTCATATGCCCAGCATGTATTGATTGTTCACTGCCACTCGCACAAAAGTGTTTCTTTAACCTTCTGACCCAGCTTTACATCAACTTACCTTTTCTCTCTGTGGACTTGGTTTTATGATTTAACATTTTTACATATTCATGACAAATTTTATATGATATTGTTCACTAACAAAAGCCACCTATTTGATCAGATGTTCGAACAAGAGTTAATCTCTTCCTAGGGTACAGGAGAGGGGTGTGTAGGGGGAGATAAACTACAGAACTTATATGCATGTATGCATGACCAATGGACATGGACAACAAAGCTGGGAATAGGGTGGGGAGGGCGGGGGAGGAGGGTGTTAATGGGGGAAAAAGGAGAAACATCTGTAACAAACAAACAAAAAAAAGAGTTAATCTCTTCCAATACTGGATGAAAAACTGGTTTGTTGGACTCTGAGACATTAAGAGACTTTCAAAAACAATCTTGATTATATGCAATTTTCACTCATACTGGCTTTAGGACTAACAAGATGTTACTTTACTATACTTCTTGACTGGAGTATTTGACCTATGCAATGCATAAATGAAGAATTCATTACACAGATCTTTACTCTGACGCACTGTGTACAGGAGGGGCCTGAAATGCAGGTGCATGCTCCTGAGCAGAGCAAACCTTACCAGGGTAGAGTGCACTCCTTGGTGGCATTACCTTACCACATCCAAGGCTAGACTTCTGCCAAAACTAAAGTCTCCCTCTGAATATGAAATTTGAAAGAATGAAAATATACCAAATGATAAGAGCCAACTGAGGGAATGACTTAACCCCAAAGATTCTCAGGAAAGAGTTTCAGGTGCACCAAGAACCAATTACAGTCACCTAGGGCAAATCTCGGCATGACTAGATTCTTATATTAAACCTTTGAAAACAAAAATAATAAACTATATAGTACTTTGTCTGAAGCAAGGAATGATTTACGTGGCATCTGCTAAAGAAGAATTTCAACTACATTCTTCAGAGAAGATGCCTAGGCCCTGGCCGGGTAGCTTGGTTGAATGAAGTGTTGTCTCATACACCAAAAGATTGCGGGTTCGATCCCTCATCGGGGTGTACAGGAGGCAACTGTCTGATGTTTTGATGTTTCTCTCTCTCTCTCTCCCCCCACTCCCTTTCTCTTTCTCTAAATATCAATAAAAGTATGTCTTCGGGTGAGGATTAAAAAAGAAAGAAAGAAAAAATTCCTGACCCATAATTAAAAACAGCCAGTTGAGTAGGATTGTAAAATAGATGCAACACCTCACAATGACCAATAACTTCTTTCAGCAATATTCCACATTTCTCCTTTCCTATTTATGTTCACAAAGCAAACTTCTCAACATAGTTTAGTTTTCCATAGAGCAGTGTTCTTCTACAGTGTACTACTAGCATTTGGGAAAAGTAAATCTTTACTTTCTGGGCTATAACTTGAAATGCAGGCTATTTTGTATCTATATATATTTCCAAAAAGCCCAGGAGGGACAAAGTGGCAGTACTGACATTCAGCTGAGAACTACTATAGAGTTTCCAATCCACTTTGATGTTATTATTTTCATTGAAAATTATTAAGCTGGTAGTCTGATTTGCGTACTTCTGGGTATAATGACCAAGAAGTTATGAACTGGTAAATCAGCTAATGAGATCCCAAGCTGTAATGACAAAACCAAGGTACAGGCATACCTCAGATATTGCAGGTTTGGTTCCAGACCACTGCAATAAAGTAGGTATCGCTATAAAGCGCGTTGTAATCTTTTTGCTAGTGGAGGGTCTTGCCTTTCATTTGTAAATAAACTCAGCGTCTGTGAAGTACAATAAAGCAAGGTGCAATAAAATGAGGTAGGCCTGTATTGCTCTCTGAGCCATGCTTGGGAGGTCAGAAGGTCTTCCTCAAAATGACAGCCATTGGGCCAATGATGCATATTTTCAAACTGCAATAGTAAAGCGATCTCCTAATTTTCAAGTAGATTTTTATAGTATGTCCTTTCTAACATGTTTTTCAAAAGATGGTTAGATTATTTCCCCCAACTAGCATCTCACCTCATAGCATTCACAGTAGTTTTTAAGACATCCTGATCGTTTGCAATTACATCCTTTGCTGTGACGTCGATCTGATTCTCCCTCCTTTCCTTTCCCAATTTTAGGCTTAAAAGCTTCTGGATTTCTGTCAAGGCATGCCTAGCAGAACAACAGATTAAATATCAAGTGAAGTTAAATCACAGGACATTACATTTAAATACTGAAAAGGACAGAAATTCTCTGTAAAACAGTAAGTTCTACATAAAACAGGTGCAAAATAAAATTTTTGTCGGTTAAATGAAATAAAAAATCATCACCTTTATTGCTTTTTGCCTCTCATTTTCATGTTCTAAATTATTGTAACAATTAGTACAATTGCAGTTGTTGCAAAATTCACCATTTGCAAAGCAATCACAGTATCTGGAATATAAAAATCAGTGTAAGTTATATTAAAAAAGTCATTGTTAAAACAAACAAAACTCTAAACTAGCTGATTTAATAGCATTATATATGTGGTAAAACACTTCAAAAATGTACTCGGAGCCACCTAGTCAATCACATGATAAAGCTTAAAATTAAAGTCACCAGCTCCTAGAATTTTAGTTTAGAAACTTAGTCCCCGTAGTAACAGCTGTCAACACAAGAGCTACATGACTTTATGTGCCCCCAAAGTAAGTGATTCCAAAATCATGAAGAAGGAGAAATATAGGCTATATTTATTAGTGAAACCTGCTCACTTGAACTACTGTCATGCTTCTTTGGATTCTTAACTCCAACATGACTAATACTTTTCATTTAATTGTTTCATGTGAAATCTCTTAGTTCAGTATTGATAAGCAAATTAATCATCCAATAATTAAAAAAACTACTCCTCATTCAGGAGATCAAATTATAAAGGTCATGAATAAGATCAAATTTATTATTATTAAGGACAGAAACCAGGTCTGTCTCCTGCTGCTGTCCCTAATCCCTATTCCTGTGCCTCATCTATGGTAAAGACTCTACAATTATTTCTTTCTGAATGAATGAAACAGTATTTTCACACCGTCGTGTTCTCAAGCATTCATACATGTATTATTTATTTAAATTACTTCCACTTGTGGAATTGGTCTGTTAAGAAATTTTAAAAATCATTTTCAGTTATATCAAATGAGGAAACAGTAGCAAAAAGACTTACAATTTCAAACACAGAGATTTCGTGCAATTACAGGGCTTTCTGGGTCGACTGGCAGACTCTGACGGGATTATGCTATACAGACACACAAAAAAGATACAACATTTTAATCAATTAAAAGCAACTACTCAAAATTAGAAAAGTCCCCAACATGTAAAGTCCTCCTAAGACAAAGCTTTAACAAATGTATCCATCTCTAGTAAAAGTCTGCTATGTTGTTCCATTTACATTAAGTTCAAAAGCAAGTTGTAACATGAAAAGAGAGGCAGAGAGTCAAGATATGAGGGGAGAGAAAAAAAAGATGTTATAGGCCCCGGCCAGTATGGCTTAGTTGGTTGGGCGTTCTCCCTGTGCACGAAAATGTTGCCGGCTCCATTCCTGGTCAAGGCACAAGCCTGAGTTGCAGGCTCAATCCCAGTGAGGGTGTGCACTCTCACATAGATGTTTCTCTCTCCCTCTCCCTTCCTAAAAAAAATTTTTTTAAAAATTGTTTTTTTAAAAACATGATCAATAACTTCTACAGAACATTCCACAAAAAATACCCTTCCTTCAGAGAACTAAAGTTCAAATCTCCTCAAAACTTTTCAGACTTAATTATAAAATTTTACTAGTTAGTAAATAAAAACAAGGATGTATGGGGCTGGAATTTGGGAGGGGAGAGAGGTAGACTGCTTTCATCCAACATTGCAAAGGGAACAATTAAAAGATTATCAAAAAGACAAACAAACAAAAAAAGCAAGGACCTAACATAATTTAAAAACCAATACCCTTTAAAAAATATATTCAGGGTGGGAAAAGGAGAGGAGAGGGAAGAGAGGAGAGATGGAGAGAATAAGAAAGCACATGGAAAAAGTAGTGAATCCAATTAAATGTATCGGTGACAAGCTACTGATTGATTGATTGATTTAAGTAATATTTCATTTTTAATTGTACTTCTTTTTTTTATTTTTTATTCTCACCTAAGGATACTTTCTTTTACCCCATGTTTATCTTCAGATAGAGTGGGGCGGGGGGTGGGGACGACACATTGATGTGAGAGACATATCGACTGGTTGCCACCCACATGACCCCAACTGGGGCCGTGGACACACTGCAACTGAGGTACATGCCCTTAGCAGGAACCAAACCCAGGTCTCTCTGGTCCACGGGCTGATGCTCTAACAGCTGAGCCAAACCAGCCAGGGCTCTTCTTTTGTTAAAATATTTTTCCTTTGTTTATTTCTTTTTCCCATTTTTTTTTTTTTTTTGGATGTGCCCCTAGCGTCAACTGAACCAGAACTCTCTGGTCCGCAGGCCGATGCTCCAACCGCTGAACCAAACCAGCAAGGGCTATTTATTTATTTTTCTTTATTGATTTTAGAGAGAGAGGAAGGGAGAGGGAGAGAAAGATAGAAACATCGACCTCTAAGTGCATGGGTCGACGCTCAACTACTGAGCCTCACTGGCTGGGCTCCCTCTTCCTTTCTTTTTCCGTCCCTTCCACTCTCTAAAAATCAATGGGGGAAAAAAAAAAGTCCACCCACATATCACCTAGATCCAACCCTACACACACACACACACACCATGCCTGGGAAAACTCAGGAGGCCTCCACATTCAGCTGGAAACTCATCCTGAGCAGGAACCTTGGCTTGAAGTGGGGGAGGAAGAACCTCCAGGTTGTCAAAAATATCATATCATTATTCACACTTGGTGGCAAGACAATGTGTGGGAATAATGGGGGACGTGAAGGACCCCTCCTGGGGGCACCCCTGGGTTGACACTGATATAGTGTGGGCTATGACAAAAGTAGAATAAGCATCTCAAGGGGGTGGCCCTCAAATAAGATATGTGGGAGTTCTTTTGACTATTCCTATAACTTTTATATTTAAAATATTTCAAATCAAAAAGTACTGTAGAGGCATGGTCACACAGCTTTGAGGGGGGAAAAATCAAACAAATGTATTTTGAAATATATATTATTTGATACTTCATTTAACCTGATCTATATTTTCTAAATACTCACCCATTGAATGGAAGCCTTGCCTGGGTCTGGATACTCGGTGTACCAGTAAAATTAGAGTTGCTTGCTATTGACACATATGAAGACTGCTGTAGCTAAATGTAATGAAAGATAATTTTAGACCATAGTTACAAAAATAAACAATACTCTCAGATATAATGATCAATAAGAAGCACAAATTCATCTATTAAAATACAAAAAATTGAATGAAAAATTTCATGCAAACATACTACCTCATGGATGTTTTCTAAAGATCCAAACTAATATTAGAGGTGAAAACAATGTAAACATTTTAAAGTACAACACGGTACAAATATAATAATTTTTCTTCATAGAGAAGTATATTATTAGAATTAGAAAATTCTAAGTAGATGCCCTAAAAGTACTGTAATAATGTGTACTGGCTAGAAAAATGCAATGTATCTACTTGTAAATGAAACTTATTGTATTGATCATTCCTCACACTGCAAGTTATAGAAAATGAAAAGTTACATGCAAAAAAATTAAGTTTCTACTTTACACTGATTTCTAAACATAAGAGATGTTAATGATAAAAATACTGAACATTAATCTTTTTAAATCAGTAGCTACATACCATATTCCAAAGTACATTTCAATAAAGTACAGTTAGGTTTCTGTTTCTCCTCTTACAAACTCAAGAAATCAATTCAACAGCTTAGAACATGGTGCTAATTTGCTTCTTATATCAAAAAGAAAATCTGCTTCCTAGAAGCAGCACTCCTCACCCAAACCAGCCAACAGGATTATCCATGGCTTTGATCTAAAGATGACCAAACAGGCCCTGGTCAGATTGGCTCAGCTGTTAGAGCATCAGCCTGAGGACCAAAGGGTCTCAGGTTCAATTCCCGGTTGAGGGCATGTACCTGGGTTGCAGGTTTAGTCCCTGAGCCCGGTTGGGATCGTGCGGGGGGCAACCAGTCGATGTGTCTCTTTCACATCAATGTTTCTTTCTCTCTCCCACTCTCTCCCCTTCCACTCTATCTAAAAAAAAAATTATGAAAATGACCAAACAATTCTGGACAGATCACTCAAGATATGTCACCTGGAAATCCATCTCACAGTCAATTTTCCAAGAATAAGTCAGTGGCATTATATTCATTGGTGGGGAAGAGCTTTTTTAGGGTCACAGTGCCTTCTGAATTCATTTGGACTCTGATAATTTTTTAAAAATATGTTTCTATTGATATTTTAGAGAGAGAGAGAAACAGTGATGTGAGAGAGACACATCGATTGGCTGCCCCTCATGTGCCCCACACCAGGGACTGAGCTCAAAACCCGTGTATGTGCCCTGACTGGGAATTGAACCAGGACCTCTCAGTTCATGGGATGACACTCAATCCACTGAGCCACAGGAGCTGGGCAGGACTCTGATAATTTTTTTTTTTATCCTCACCCAATGACATTTTTGCATTTATCTTCAGATAGAGCGGGAAGGAGAGAGGGAGGAAGAGAGAGAGAAACATCGATGTGAAAAAGATACATCAACTGGCCGCCACCCACACAACCCCATGGGCCGGGGACAAACTGCTACGGAGGTACGTGCCCTTAGTGGGAACCGAACCCGGCACTCTCTGGTCCGCAGGCCAACCCTTTAACTGCTGAGCAAAACCGGCCAGGGCTGGACTCTGATAATTTTTAACTTCAACTTATTTTTTCTTATATCTATATGATCTTGCCCTCTCACCAACCTGCCCTCAGTTCCAAACTGTCTGACTTGTATATTTGACTTGTGCTATATATTTCTCAACGCTCAAGATACATAAAAAAACTCAGAAGTTTTTTTAAAAATATGTTTCAATTGATTTTTTAGAGAGAGGAAAGGAGAGCGAGAGATAGAAACTTTAATCAGCTGCCTCCTGCAAGGCCCACACTGGGGATTGAGCCCACGACATGGGCATGTGCCCTGACCAGGAATCAAACCAGTGACTTTCTGGTGCATGGGACAATGTTCAACCACCCGAGTTGTCACGCTGGCCAGGATAAACTCAGAAATTTTCATGAACATCTTTGGAAAGAGGCATTTCAATACTGAGTTGGATGGTTTTGAGTCATTTTCAGAATGAGACAAAGCTAGACGTCTTAGACCCAATTATCCTTTTGGAAATGCAATGACTTCATTTTTGCCTCATACCTGAGTAACGTACTGAGCTGGAAGCACTGCATAACCCACATTCCCTGTCCCCGGAGCTGGTGCCAGCACAGTGCCTGGGGGCAGGTTAGTGAGGTTTGGTTGGATCTGTGGCAGTGGAGTGGCAGGCATGATGAGCCGTTGCTGTGGCTGGCTAGTAGTAACTATTTGTGAACTTGGGTTGATTGGTTTTGGAACAACCTAAAAAACAAAAGTATGTCAACAATTACAAAAACAAATTTTACAGCTTCTCAATTCAGTATACACCTCTTGTACTTAAATCTTAAACTTTCACCCACACCATCTTGGCGGCTGCTCTTGGTTGGAGTCCCTCCTGCACCTAAGGCAGGAAGGTGGTAGCCTCAAAGAAGACAAAAAAGTCGCTGGAGTCAATCAACTCTAGACTCCAACTTGTTATGAAACATGGAAAATATATGCTGGGGTACAAGACTAAGAATGTTCAGACACAGCAAAGTGAAACTGGTCATCCTCACCAACAACTGTCCAGCCTTGAGGAGATCTGAAATGGAGCACTATACCACGTTGGCCAAGCCTGGTGACCATCATCATGGTGACAATGACAATGAATTGGGCACAACGTGTGGAAAAGACTACAGAGCATGCACATGACTATCAATGATCTAGATGATTCTGGTATCATTAGAAGCATGCCAGAACAGACTGGTGAAAAGTAAATCAGGCAAAATTTTTCTTTAATAAAACTGGCCAAGACTTAATTAAAAAAAAAAAATCTAAACTTTCAATTTTAAAAGCAAATTGTCTGTTTGGGAGAGACTGAGAAGAGGTTATGTGATACTCACGGGTTTAACAGTCTGTGTGAGAGGAACTGACATTCGCACTGGAGTGGTGCTGACCACGGGCTTTGCTTTTTTCAAAAAGAGGAAAAAAGGGACAATTTACTTCCATAAAATAATATTTAAAGCATTTAAGGTACTTAGTTCTCTCAAGATAGCCTTATGCATAAGCTTAAAGAATCCCACCTGCTTCTTTTTTTTTAAAAGTATTTTTTCTTTATTAATTCTTAGAGAGGGAGGGAGGGAGAGATAAAAACATCGATGAGAGAGAACATCGACTGGCTGCCTCCTGCATGCCCCCTACTGGGGATCAGGCCCACAACCTGGGCATGTGCCCCAACTGGAAATCGAACCAGCAACCTCTTGGTGCCCTCTTGGGACATGGGTTGATGCTCAACCGGTGAGCCACACTGGCCAGGCCCACCTGTTTCTTATTTGGTGCAATCCTTAACCCATCTACCAGGAAGCTCTTATCAAAATTCCTAAAACCACCTGGCCAGTGTGGCTCCCTGGCTGAGGGCCGACCCATGCACCAGGAGGTCACCAGGTGGATTCCCTGGGCACATGCCCAGGTTGTGGGCCTGTTCCCCAGTGGGGAGAGTGTGGGAGGCGGCCAATCGATGTTCTCTCTCATCGGTGTTTCTATTTCTTCTTCTCCTTTCCTTTCCCTCTAAACTCATTAAAAAAAAAAAAAAAAAATTCCTTAACCTACCTACCAGATAGCTCTAGTCACTTCATGAGAGAATGTTTGTTGTTTAAGACATTCTTCTAACAATACTTCAATTTGTATGCAGATGATTTATACATTCACTACTAAATGCAGTCACATGAAAGGATGCATAAATTCAAATACCTGCCATTCAGGAGCTTGGGTGGCAATGCTGTTCTATACTATTTCTAATCGCTGTGTTTGTATTCAAACTAGAGTAAATATAATTCTTGTACAATTCATTACTTTCAAAGTACCTACTAAAAGGAGTATATATAGCATGAAGGTTAAGAATATGTATGGGCTTGTAAGTCATCAGACCCTGGGGATTCAAATCTCAATTCCGCTACTTTCTAACTACTTAAACTCTCTTTGTATCTCCATCTGCAATATGTAGGTGGTATCTCCCTTTAAAGGGTATAAAAATTAAATGTTAATTCATACAAATTTATTAAAACACTGCCTAACAAATAGTAAATGCACAAATGTTAGATGCCATTATTGTTATTGTTGTTTTTATTACTACAACCATTACTACTATATACAACTGGCATTGTGGACAGCATTGGAGGGAAACTAAAGTACAGGACACCTGCTCAGAGATTACACCAAGTAGAGCAGATCAAACAGTATCCGAATAAAATAAATACTGTTAAATAAGAGAAATGCTGTAGGAGTTGAAAGGAGGCAGAACACACACGAGATTGGCAGAGGATGGGAGTAGAGAAAGAATGCATTGAGGTCATAGTGTCTGACATGGTCCTGACCAGTGGACAGATTGCAGAGGGCACATGCCCGAAAGAGGATATTCCATGCAGAGGCAGAAGCATGAGAAATGGAGGCTCGATGCTGGGAAGCTGCAAGCAAAAATGTTGGTGAACAGACCAGTCTGGTTGGAACCCTGGGTTAAAGTAGGCAAGCACAGGCAAAAAGGCAGATTGCAGCCATTTTTTAGACCTTAAATATCAGGATGGAAATCTATTTTTAATTCAGCAGGCAATGAGAAGTTTCTGAGGAGTCCAAAGTCCTACAGAAATACTATTTGAAACAGCACAAAAAGAAACTGTATTTGAAAGCAGTGTGTAGCCCTGGCCAGTTTGGCTCAGCGGTTAAAGCGTTGGCAAGCGGTCCGGAGAGACCCGGGTTCGGTTCCCGCTAAGGGCACGTACTTCAGTTGCAGTTTGTCCCCGGCCCTGGTTGGTCGTGAGGGTGGCAGCCACTCGATGTGTCCCTTCACGTCAATGTTTCTCTCTCTCTCTCCCTTCCTCTCTCTCCCTCCCACTCTATCTGTACAAAAAATGGAAAAATATCCTCGGGTGAGGATAAAAAAAAAAAAGAAATAAAGCAGTGTGTAAAAGAGCATGGATTTGCAAGAAACAAGGAAAGTTAAAAGAATGCAAAAAATGAGGGTCTAATCTGGGGTGAGAGTGCTGGGAATGGAAAGAAGAGAGCAGCTGCAGACACATGACAGAGGTGAAAGGAACATGAGTTAACCATTTGGATGGCAGAAATGCAGGTAGAAGGGAAGAAAAGTCATTGCTAAGCTTTCAAGTGAGTGGGAAAATGACAGCTATTAGAACTAAAAATTCAAGGATGAGCCCTGGCTGGTTTGGCTCAGCGGTTAGAGCGTTGAGTTGTGGACCAAAGAGTCCCAGGTTCGGTTCCGCCAAGGGCACCTACCTCAGTTGCAGTTTGTCCCTGCCCCTGTTGGGGTCGTGTGGGTGGCAACCAGTCGATGTGTTTCTCTCACATTGATGTTTCTCTGTCTCTCTTCCTCCTTCTCTTCCTCCTGCTCTATCTGAAGATAAATGCAAAAATGTCCTTGGGTGAGGATAAAAAAAAAAATTCAAGGATGAGCTGATTTAAAGGGAAACCTGACAGAGAGAAACGCTATGATGAAATTCAGGAGAGAGACTAGCACTAGATCTATTACGTTTGGACAACAAAGACACTGTTTAATACTGCCTACTGCCACTGCCATAATCTAAAAGAGAGATTTAGAAAGATAAAAAGAACATCCCTTCGGGTTTTACTTGTGCAAATGGTCTAGAGCCTGGTCTGAAAGAAAGGCTGAGACAATGGAATCTAAACTGCTCTGAACCACGAAAAATAAGACTTCCTTTGACAGAAAGCCTGGAGGATTGATGCCTGAAGACTAAATAAAGGTTGACAGTCCTGGAAGAACATTCGAGTACTCTGACCTAAAAGGGAGCAGGCCCCTGCTGCAAGGTGACAAACCAGGGAGAAGGGGGAAGGAGGACAACCCCAGAAAGTGTACAATTAAGAGGTGATGATTGCATATCTCTGAATATACAAAAAAAACAGTAGATGGTATGCTTAACAAGGGTGAATTTTAAAGTAGATTTGAATTATATCTAAATAAAGTTGCTATACAAAGAGTGAATGACCATGAATTATAGGAGCAGTGTGACATCTGATACCTGATTTGAAAGTTTCCTATTCTGTTTGATTTTCCTCAGTTACTCTTTAGTAAAGTTATAATAACCAATGTAGATTGGTCTTAGCAATAATATCAGGAATTAAAAAGTGAATTAAAAGCCTGAATTCATGTTTAGGCATATCCCACTTCACACAGAGCAGTGATTTTTAAAAAAATAATGTTTTTATTGATTTTTTTTAGAGAGAGAGGAAGGGAGAGAGAGAGATAGAAACATCGATGTGAGAGAGAAACATCGATTGTCTGCCTCCTGCACATCCCTACTGGGGATTGAGCCCACAACCCAGGCATGTGCCCTGACTAGGAATCGAACTGGGACCTCTCAGTCCATGGGTCATGCTCAATCCACTGAGCCATACCGGATGGGCCACAGCAGCGATTTTCAAGCAAGTCCAACAACTGGAAGAATATAAGAACTTCCTAGTGGTCTGTGAAATAGCAGGGAAGGAGTGTGTGGCTTGTCCTGATTTGTATGACTTGGATGATTTGTATTTGGAGAATAAACAAAGGGTCATTGCCCCTGTGCTCGAGCACACACTGAGCTAGAAAATTTGGGAACTCTAGGTTTCCATTAGCTTGGCATCTGCATTCTGAGTTTCAACTGAAACCTGAGAAATGAAGAAAACACAACACTTCCAAATTCCCTAAGGAGGGGGTCATACTGATGTTCTACAACCAAGTCAGCAGTCCACATCTCTCCTCCTCTAACTTTTGAGCAGTCTCATATTACTACTACTGTAGTTTCCACAGAAGCTGACAATCTTTAATTTTCTAGTCTTTAACAGGAATTCTGAACAATCCTTTTAGAATGCCCCATCCAAGCCTCAGAAACCATACATTAAGTCCTTGAAACTTTAATTTCCTCCCTCACCAAAATGGTAGGAGATTTTTGCTAAAAAAGGTTAACCAAGCACTCTTCTGGGTCTTTCTACAGTGCTGCCTGCCATCCAGCCAGCAATTGACAGTATGCAGCCTTTGGCCCAGCCAGTGTGGCTCAGTGGTTGAGTGTCAAGCCACACACCAAGAAGTCGCCGGTTCGATTCCTAGTCAGGGTACATGCCCAGGTTGTGGGCCTGATCCCCAGTGCGGGGCATGCAGGAGGTGGCCAACCAATGCTCTTTCCCATCAATGTTTCTATCTCTCTTCCCCTCTCCCTTCCTCTCTCTCTAAAAATCAAAAAGAAAAAAATTTAAAAAACAATTAACAACAGTATGCAGGCTTTGAATATTGATTTTTGTATAGCTTTGGTGGGGAAATGTGCAAGACGAGCCTAATTCCCTTTGGCATAAGTAAATCGCTCATAGGTACTTAAGCGATTAGAAAGACATAATAATACATTTGATAAACTAGAGCAACTAGTGTATCTCTAATAAAAACTCTAAATTTAACTTGTTATTCCTGTGAAATAATATATATACCCAGACCTTTTATGGGATAGAAGAGAAAGGTAAAGAGAGAAAAATACGTGTGGCTATAAGGGAAACTGCAAGAGCAGGAAGTGTATGTGAGGGTGGAAGGTTATCTAGAGAGAAGGAGCCCAGAGATAGAGAAGAGAACAGAGAAGGAAAGTTGAAGGTGGAAAGCAAAAAAGGAAGAAGCAAGGAAGCAGAAGAGGGAGGAGGAGAGAGGGAAGAATTACCAGGAGGCAAAGAGAATGAAGAGGTAGAGAGAGGCAGAAAGACAGACATGAAGTTGGAAAAGAAGGCACCAGTAAATACACTAGAATTAGGAAATGTCCAACCCATTCCTCTGCTCTTCCTGCATCTTCAGCTCCTCGTTTTCTACTTATATCAAAGGCTTATTCTTGATAAATAATAAATTAGCCTTAACATTACACTGGAAATGGACATACAGCATATTGCATATATACAAATGCACACACACATAATATATAACCAACTGTATCTAATGACTGCTTTATATCATTATATCTAAGGGAACTGAACTTGCATTGCTGTACTACTTCTGTTAGTACCCTACTAAGTTTAAGTACTGAGAAAATATAAAATGTGATTCTCCTAGTCAGCAATATGTTCTATTTTTCCTTTCATTAAGAACACAATAATAAAGATTTTCTTTTGCCCTGGCCGGTTTGGCTCAGCGGTTAGAGTGTCGGCCTGCGGTCCTGAGAGACCCGGGTTCGGTTCCCACTAAGGGCGCGTACCTTGGTTGCAGTTTGTCCCCGGCCCTGGTCGGTTGTGCAGGTGGCAGCCACTCGATGTGTTCCTTTCACATCGATGTTTCTCTCTCTCTCTCTCTGTTCCTCTCTCTCCCTCCCACTCTACCTGAACAAAAAATGGAAAAATGTCCTCGGGTGAGGATAAAAAAAAAAAAAGATTTTCTTTTATAATCAGTTTAAAGAGAAATTAGAAAATTACTCGATATAATTACATATAATTACTTGATATGTCTAATTTTAATGAAATGTACACTAAAATTCTGTTTCCCATTCGTCCTCCATTTTTCTCCCATCAGTAATTTATAAAACAGATTTTCCCTTAGGTAAGCTAGCTATAAGCAACAGATAGCTCCAACTCTGATTCCTTATTAAAAAGGAAAGAATAAAGAAGAGGTCTTCAATGCATTTATTTACATTTAGCAAAAAATAAATCATTCATTTGCCATCAACTACTTTTTTGATATTACCAGAATATGCAGCAGTCTTCTGAGGAAAAAAAAATTAGACCCTAAACTATAAACTTTCACACCATTCACTTTTTTAAGTAGATAAATATGGAGAAAGGTTATGTGCATGAATCTGTATTTCAGGTGGTAAGAAGATTAGATACAAACAGAAAATGAAAGGACTATAAACAGGAATACCCTCCAGAAAAAAATACAACTGAGTAAAATAACAGGACATTTTAATTAGCAATTAGAGTCAAAATAAAAATGAAAGTGACATAAATATTTACTTATTCATTTATATCTTGCCTACTGGTCATTTCAGCTGACCCAAACCTTATCAAGCACCTTCATAGTTAAGAAAATAAGATAAATAATTGGGTTCCATCTAAATTTATCTTACCGGCATAAATGGCAGGCTTTTAAACTAGCAATTGGCCAACCACAAATTGATGAATAGTTATGATTATCTGGTAGCATAGCACACTGTGCACCAATTTCTAGCAGAATGAAATGTTATAGTCATAAACTTCTATGATTCTATTTCACTGCTTTCTGTAATAGCTGTTGATTTAAACTCTCAGCTGAAATGCCACACTTAATCAGGATTTCAGCAAGAAAAGAACTAATGTTCTTTAATAATGTTCAAAGCATTAATTACTATTTTTAAAAAACGGTTACTAACCTTGCTGAAGAGGCTGAGTGTTTGTACTGGGATTCTGACTGACAGGCTGGGTTGAGCTACTGGCTGTTGTGGCAGTAACAAGTCGGACATAATGAAACTTGCTTCCAGGCACTTGGATCTGCTGGACATTGGGAGCAGTTGCCAGAGGAATAATTGTCTTAAATTGTGATGTGCTCACACCTCCAACAGTGATGGTCTGCACAGTTGATTTTACTGCCTATTAAACAATACAACATGGCTATTATTAATCTGGTATTCAACTTTCCTACATCTTTTAAGACAATTGCTCAAGTAAAAGTATGTTCCTGTATTTCATCAAAAGCCGTTGAAAGGACCAACCTGTTCAAAGAGAAATGAAAATAGTAATGAATACATACAGAAGTGGAATCACAATCAATGAGTTGTCTTCCATTTCTAGTAGCTAACTTCCTTGATAATCCAGGTTAGATGACTTGCTATGAAGACATTATTTTTTAAATTACAAAAACTTATACATAATTTTGTTAATATGAGGTAAAACTGATAAGAAAAAGATTATTTTAAAACTCTGAGAATTAAGCCTCATATTCAACACAAAGAATAAAAGGATACAGATATTTGGCTTTATCACTACCCACCAAATTAACTATGACAAATTTCATTTTCCTGTGTTTTAAAGGAGAAAGAAACCCAAAAGAAAAGCCCTCTTTAAGTCTAGTCATTTGACTTAGAACACTCCACAGATACAAATGTACCCATTAACACATGGGTAGAAGACCAAATTTAGTCCAGAATCACACCAACTTTGGTTGTCTAGGGAAACTAATTTTGGATGATTCAGATCTGAGTCAATATAATAATTTTTAATTTTCTCCTTCAGTCCAACAAAAAGCAATGGGACTTCCTAAAAAGCTAAATGAAACATCAGAGGCAGAATAGAACAAACATCTTTTAAGTTTTTCCAATCACTGTTTAATCAATGTATAACCAGATCCAATTCCAAAGCCATAACAGTCAGTGAGTTCAATGAAAATATAAAGTTTAAGGGATAAAATCTGTACATATGGAAGTTACTAAAAAATTAAGCAACCTGTAAGACAAATATATACAACGGTGTAAGACATAGTCTATCCTTGCTATGTCAGCTCAAAATGGGGAAACAAATACTATCTTTTTTTTTTTCCAGTTATGTTTCTGCATGTTTTTTTTCCCCTTCATTCATCTATACTTTATTGTTGGCATCAATAGACTATTTTTTAGAACAGTTTTAGACTTACAGAAATATTGCAAAGAAGGTAGAGTTATCATTTTTCCCATACCCAGTTTCCCCTATTAGTTATATCTTTTATTACTTTGATACATTTGTTAAAATTAATGAACCAAAATTGTTACATTGTTATCAACCAAAGTTAACATTTAATTTTTTTAAATTTATTTATTTTTGTTACAGATGTTTCTCCTTTTCCCCCATTGACACCCTCCTCCCCCTCCCTCCCCGCCCTGTCCTCAGCTTTGTTGTCCATGTCCATTGGTTATGTGTACATGCATATAAGTTCTGTGGTTTATCTTTCCTCCCCCCACCCCTTTTTCTGGGGATTGTCAGTCTGTTCCCTACACTTCCACGTCTCTGGGACTACCCTGTTCTTCGGACTGTTATGTTCATTATATTCCACAAATAAGTGAGATCACATGATACTTGTCTTTCTCTGCTTGGCTTGTTTCGCTTAGGATAATACTTCCAGGTCCCTCCAAGTCATCTCAAAGAATAAGAGATCTTTCTTTCTTACAGCTGCATAGTACTCCATTGTGTATATGTACCACTGCTTTTTTATCCATTCATCTACTGATGGACACTTGGGCTGTTTCCAGATCTTAGCTATTGTAAATAGTGCTGCTATGAACATTGGGGTACATACATTCTTTCTCATTGGTGTTTCAGGCTTCTTAGGGTATATTCCTAGAAGTGGGATCACTGGGTCATATGGCAATTCAATTTTTAATTTTTTGAGGTAACACCATAGTGTTTTCCATAGTAGCTGCCCCAGTGTGCATTCCCACCAGCAGTGTATTAGAGTCCCCTTTTTTCCACACCCTCGCCAACACTTGTTGTTTGATGCTTTGTTGATGGTGGCCATTCTGACATATGTGAGGTGATACCTCATTGTTGTTTTAATTTGCATCTCTCTGATGATCAGTGATGTTGAGCATTTCTTCATATGTCTCTTGGCCATTTGTATGTCCAGTTTGGAGAGGTGTCTATTTAGTTCCTCTGCCCATTTTTTAATTGGGTTCTTTGTCTTCCTTTTGTTGAGCTGTATGAGCACTCTATATACTTTGGAAATTAACCCCTTATCTGATAAATCATTGTCAATTATGCTCTCCCATACAGTAGGTTGCCTTTCCATTTTGGTGGTTACTTCTTTTGCTGTGCAGAAGCTTTTTAGTTTGATGCAGTCCCATGTGTTCATTTTTTCCTTTGTTTCACTTGCCTTAGGCTTTGTATCAGTAAAAATTCTGCTGTGTGTGATGTCTGAAATTTTGTTGCCTACATTTTCTTCTAGGATTTTTATGGATTCATGAGTCACACTTAAGTCTTTTATCCATTTTAAAAATATGGAACACTTCACGAATTTGCATGTCATCCTTGCGCAGGGGCCATGCTAATCTTCTCTGTATCGTTCCAATTTTAGCTTATGTGCTGCCGAAGCGAGCACAACAAATACTATCTTAAGAAACAAGGTACCTCAAACATAAAAGTTAAGTGTACTGGTAACTTAATATGTATACAGGACATTACTTAAAAAAATTTTTTTAAAGATAGCATTTTAAAAAAATCGCTGCCTTTTCATTTACTTATTTTTTAAAATATGTTTTTATTGATTTTTTAAGAGAGAGAGAGAAACATCCACCAGCTGCCTCCTGCTACCCTCTACTGGGGACTAAGCCTACAACTTGGGCATCTGTCCAGACCAGAAATCGAACTGGCAACTTTTCAGTGCATGGGACGATGCCCAAACAATTGAGCCACACCTGCCATACCGGGAGGTTCGATTCCTGGTCAGGGCACATGTCCAAGTTTTGTGCTCGATCCCCAGGATGGGGCATGTAGGAGGCAGCTAATGGATATTTTGCTTTCACATCAATGTTTCTCTTTCTCTCCTTCTCCCTCCCTCTCTGAAAGATGAATAAAAATATAAAATAATAATAATAATAATGATAATTTTAGACTCACAGGAAGTTAGAAAACCAGAAAGAGACTTTACTTTGGGTGGTGAGCACATAATGCAATATACAGATGATGTGTTATTGAATTGTACACTTGAAACCTGTGTAGTTTTATTAACCAATGTCACCCCAATAAATTCAATTTTTAAAAGAAGTATTATAAAGGGTGGGATCAGGAGGAGGGTGTCAATGGGGGAAAAAGGAGAAACATCTATAACAAAAATAAATTAATAAAAATTGCAAAAAGTATTATATATATTGACTATAATGTGAGATTACTCTACACTGTGATCTGAATACACTAGTGAATTTTTAAAATTTATATAAAATATAATTAAAGAAAGCCCTCAGTGAAGATACAAAAAAAAATTAGAAAACTAATAGAGTTCCCCATGCATGCTTCCCCAGTTGAATAACATCTTACAAAGCCATAAAACATTATCGAACAAGGAAATTTGACATGTGGTATAACATTATTGATTAAACTACAAAACAGACCTTATTCAGATATCACCAGTTTTTATACCCACTTTTTGGGATTTATACAACAAGTGTATAGATTCGTGTAACCAACATCAAGATATAAAAGTGTTCCATCACCGCAAAGAAACTTGCACTACCCTTTATAGTCACACTCTCAGCTCTCAACACTAACACTTGGCAACCACTGATTAAATGGCATTTTTCTTAACTCCTAAAATATTAAGTGACATAAAAGTTACTGGTTTTGCAAAAGCATTCCAATATTTAATTGCTTTGATAATTTACAACTTGGTCCCTTCCTGGAAGTACAGCGGCCTGGGAAGTACGGTGCCTCTCTGAACATATGTTACCAGAAAAAGTCTGTGGGCATTCAATAAAAATTTTCAGTTATTGCTATTTCCTGATTAAAATTCTTGACAGCTGAGTTAAAAAGCAACTATCTTAATTTAAATGCAAAATAGCTACATTTAATTAACATGTATTAGTGGCTGCCCTGAAAAACTGACTTGAAAGATTTTTTTCTAGTTGTACAAGCCATTTCTAGTTACAGATTAACATAATTATATACTTAACATAAATTTCTTTGATCATTTTCCAATAATCATATGCCAAAAATCCTTGCTAAAATGAAGATTTAAAAAAAAACTCTTTTTGTTCTAAAAATGAGGATTCTTTTTTTTTTTGTCCTCACTTGAGGACATTTTTCCATTTTTTGTTCAGACAGACTAGGAAGAAGAGAGAGGTAGAGAGAGAGAAACATCGTCGTGAAAGGGACACATCAAGTGGCTGCCTCCCACAGGACCAACCAGACCAGAGACAAACCGCAACTGAGGTACGTGCCCTTAGTGGGAACCGAACCCAGGCCTCTCTGGACCGCAGGCCGATACTCCAACCGCTGAGCTAAACCAGCCAGGGCGAAAATAAGGATTCTTATTTTACCTGGTGATGTTGGAGACATATATATATGGCTCAACTAATATCCAACAACACTAAATCTGTCGGGTTCCATATTAATATCCCTGCTTCCCCCCCATCCCCCGCCTTTTGTACAATTTGCAATTTGGTTCTGTTTGTCTCAGTCTTGCATGTATTCTGGCTAGCAAACTAATGCGTCATTATACCTTTGCTTCTTTATTCCTTTATACGTGGAAGAACATTACTATTAAATGAAATCTGAATAGTGCTTTGGGACATATGCACAAATTATGCTGTTGGTGATTACCGAAAGGAAAGGGGGGTGGTAGACATAAAAAAGGATAAATGGGGGATAAATGGTGATGAAAGGAGACTTGACTTGGGGTGGTGAACACACAATACAATATACAAATGGTGTATTATATAACTATACACCCGAAACCTATATAATTTTATTAGGCAATGTCACCCCAATATATTCAATAAAAATAAAATAAAAAAAAGATAGCATTTGCTTAATCTACTGCAAATTCAGAGTAACTGTTTCCTTAATGCTGGTTGGGTAGTGTTTACTATAGTGTGTTTGTTTCACTGAACATTAGCTCTTCAGGATTA